GGGAAGGGCAATGTTCCTACCAAGCCTAAAAACTTAGGCTTACGCCTGAATATAAAATATTGTTTGTTCCCCACTACCACGACCTACCTACAAATAGCACAACTACCTAAAATATCTTATTGCCCAGGATTTGTTTACTAAAATGAAATCAGAGTGTCAATGAGAATGAAATCAGAGTGTCAATGAGAATGACATCTTTTTACCTGTCTTGTGATTTTTTAATTGTAAATATACAAATGTTGGGATATTTGTTGATTGAAACTGAAAATATGGTTCTAAATTTTCAAGTAAAACAGATGCTTTCATGCATTCACAATTTGTTTGAACTACATATAATTTTAATGAACAAACATTTGAACTAGAAATGTGTCCATAGGACACGGGTCCCCCCTACGCGCCACTGTTCTGTTAATCTTATGACTCTAAGTCAAATCTTTTTTGAAAACTAAAAATCTTTTACTAAGTAAAGGGCAAGAACTTTACAAATACTGAATAGATTCACAAGTAAACCCCAAGGTGCATAAGTACACATGCGACCAACATTCTTTTAAATATTCAGGCCTACAAGTAATTAAAAAAAAGTTAAATACTTTTTGAGCTATGCATGAACAAGTTGAAAATTGTAAATTTATACTACTGTAAGTCAAGGGCAATAACTCTAACAAAACTGAAAAAAATCCACATGAAAGTCCCAGGTTTATAGCTTCACAGTGATGTAAATCATTATTCCTGTAATTTAGTGATGTTGATCATTATTCCTGTAAAGTTGGTTGATTCTCACTCAAGCACTCAAGGAACAAATAACAACAAATTGAAACGGTTTTTACTAAGTCAAGGGAAATAACTTAACAAATACTGGATAAATCCACAAGCCAAACCCCAGGTGCAAAACTGAATATGCTGAGCAACCTTCCCGTAAGGTTTAATGACTCTATGTCAAATCCTTTTTGAGTTACATTTTTGTACATGTGACACAAGTTGAAAATGCAAAATTTTACCAAGTCAAGGGCAATAACTCTAAAAATCATATATAAATCCAGACGAAAATACCCAGATGCGCAACTACACATGCTGATCAACATTACTGTAAAGTTTCATGACTCTAGGTTAAGTACTTTTTAAGTAACATGCGACACAAGTTGAAAATTGCAAAACTTTACTAAGTCAATGGCATTAACTCTAAAAATACTAAAAATATCAAGATGAAAATACCCAGGTGAACAACTACACTTGCTGATCAACATTACAGTAAAGTTTCATGACTCTAGGTGAAATACGGACGGACGGACAAGGGTAAATCTAAATGCCCGCCACTAAAGTTGGGGCACAAAAATAAATATTTTATCAGCCCACCGTAACCTATCTAACTGGAATGGGATATGAGGGAGTAAATACAAAGATAATTTTAAGGCTTGCCTTGTTTGATTGAACAAGGATTCAACATAAAATGCCCCTATGTCATTGGTCTAATAAACTAGATTGGACTACAAACAATTCATGGACTTATAACAGCTTAGATCTCCGCAAGTCGGATGTGTTGCCTTGTGAACAATATAGTTTAGGAGAAATGGCCAAGACAAAAATGAAATATGAAAATTAACAAAGGGCAATAAAGTTAAAGCCACTAATAGCAAATAACAAGCAAAGCCAAAATTTAGACATTTATCCTTGAAGGTCAAGGTCAATTATGAATGAAGACCAAGGTTAGTCATGTCTACTTAAAGATCTTGTTGCAAGGGTTGTGGTGACCAAGTATGTAGACAATACACCAAGAACTTAGCTGAGCTAAAGTGAATGACATAGTACATGTATATCAAAAGATATAATTGAAAAATACTTTTAACTTTTTTACTACATTAAAACTCATAGCAGCACTTATAGTTTAATAGATTGGATAATATTTTGCACTTTTATAAAAAGTAGTCATTTTTTCTGACAAAATATTAAAAACAGACCTTGAGTCATGACAAATGAATCAAGAGAATTTTTTTCGAAACAAGATAGATACAGTGCCATATCTAAAAAAAATCTTTCATAAAACTATCATGAATACCAGGTATTCAATGTCAGCTTAAATATGTTTGAATAGTTGGGCAATCAGTGTAACACACTATTTATCATTCTTTTCCATAAAAAGTCAATCATTTTATTTGGATTTTAAAGGCGTTTTGAGCTCCAAACCCCAAGTGTCTGTGGATCATCTGTCATTATTTTATTTAATCTATATATATAGTGGGAAAGGAAAAAAATTGACAGAATCCCCTGTGGATCTAGCAGTATATTGCATCGGCTATCTACTAGATCTATACTGTTTATATAATAGATCTACATAAAAGAATACGGAATAAATCTTGTAAATAATATAGTGGTTGGGTTGGGGCACAGGGATAAGATGCTTTCTCCAACTGCTAAACAAAAATCAATTACTAGAGGTTTTTTTTGGAGTGTAGGACAAAAGCCCCCCCCCGGCCGAAAGCCCCCCCCCTTCTAAAAATGAGAAGGTGGACAAAAGCCCCCATAAAATTTACACATAAGACAAAAGCCCCCCCCCCCATCAAAAATACAGGTAGGACAAAAGCCCCCCCCCCCCAGTACAGCAAACAAAAGCCCCCCTAAGGTTTATAGACCAGACTGATAACTATCTTTTATCACACGCCCAGTGTTAGGGAACTTTGGTTATACTTCAAATAAATCTGGACAAGTATGCGCCTTCCACTTTTATTTCCTTGATAAGCGTTGATAAATGATTCTCTGAAAATATTCGGTGTACGGACATAATCCCCTTCGGACAAAATCCCCTTCATGTATTTTTGCATATCTGGACATAATCCCCTCCATGGGTGGACATAATCCCCTTCATGTGTGAAATTTTGAAGTGGACAAAATCCCCTTCATAAAATTGCTACCTAGGACAAAATCCCTCTCGGTGAAATTTTCGGTTTATTAAGTAGGTATGAGAGCTTAATGTATAAATAAGTAGAAAATATTTCAGCAGAAAAGCACATTCAATTAGCACATTTTAATCACATTAAAATTGCTTTGTTAAAGTATTCATAACAATCAATTAAGTAGTGCAGTGATCTTGGTTTGATTAAATTATCACGTTTTCATCAATAGAAATTGTAACAATGGATAGTATAATTATATCAATTAGAATTATCAACTTATACAATCAATGAAACAATTATTGGCTAATAAAAATGTTTTTCATACTAATCTATTTAAAACAATTAAAGAAATTGCCTAATCAAATATGTGTTATGCAGTTGATAATTAACCATAATTTTAATGAAAACTTCTAAACTAAATAACTATTGATACATAATTTTAAATAAAAAAACAAAAGTTCATTATTCATCAATTTTAGGGAGTATAATTATACATTATTCATCAATTTTTATGGAGCATAATATTATAATACATTAGAAACCTATGAAACAAGGGGATTTTGTCCGGGTAGTGAAGGGGATTTTGTCCAGCCTTGCAAAAACATGAAGGGGATTAATATGTCCACCCATGAAGGGGATTTTGTCCGGGTAGGCGAAGGGGATTTTGTCCGAAGGGGATTATGTCTGACATTCAAAATATTCATTTACATTAATTTTGTACTGTACAATATATAATAAACATAAAAACATTCATATCATCAATGAATTATACAAATTACACAATAAATCAAATTAGAACTAATGTCTCAATACATCAAGTTCTGGAATTAAACTGACAAGATTCTCAACGGGGGGGGGGGCTTTTGTCCTATGTGTATATTCATGGGGGGGGGCTTTTGTCCACCTTGTCATTTTTAGATGGGGGGGGGGGGGGGGATTTTGTCCGTATCCCAAATTACTATGCTACGGGTGGGTTATTCCAACCATTGAAAATGGAATTTACCCACACATTTTATAAAATTTTCAAATTTAAGTTCAGTTTAACATGCATGCTGGTATATAGCAAAGGCTATCTATAGGGACAGCTTTCTGTCTTCTAGCTTAGATCTATGTTATTAAGTTATGGTGCTGATGAAGAAGTGCACAGGGCATTTCTATCAGAGGAAAATATTAGCATTTTAGGGGATAGGGGTGGGGGTATAGAAAGGCATATATATCTGGAAATGGGTTAAATAGCTGCCATTTTTTTCAAATACACATGTATGTCTGACTGTGCCCTGATGGCTGACAAATGACATAATACTGGCTTGACTTAAATTCTATTACACTATAATATAAAGCATATATGCTAAGTTAATACAAAAAAAAACATGTAGTTGGAATATATATCAAGCTTATGTGGAAACCATAGGAACTCTGGAACAGGACCGCATAATATTGCGGCGCATAAATCCGAATCCGTACCGGGCTTTACAAGTCATATTGTTTGTCCGACCTTTGAATATCTTTTCATATTATGCGAGCGGGTGGTCTTTAATCACCTAATCTCAATTTAATGTTATCTGCTAATTTAAAAATCAGTCAAATTTACGGTATATTGAAAAAAGAAAATGAGTGACACCCGCCTTTACCCCAACGTTCGGCGTAAGTAATATAATCCCCCTTGATAAGCTTGATTTTTGTTTTGATTTTTCTAGTACTCTCCTTATGTCACTCAATACATGGAAAACTTTCACATTTCCTAGTAATGAATACCAGATGAGTGCCTAAAATATTTATCTATGGATCATGTTTTAAAGGGAGGCACAGGCAAAATTTTCATTTCTTTATAGTTTTGAATTTTTCATTCATTACTCTGTAAATGCCCTCAAAATGAATACTTTAGACAGTCAAAGGAACAAAACTTTCTCCATATAAAGAATAAAATGGTGGATTCCTAACTTGACCCGCGTGGGTCAGGTTAGAGCGCTAGCATTTCACAACAGTTGTCAAAGTGAACTCTGGAAATGTTACTCTTGATGTTTACTCTTATTATTTTCCTAAAATGTAAATACTATAACACAATTGAATTAGTTTGTAATGGTACAACAGTTAAAAAATAGTTGCTTAAAATTTCAGGGTCCAAGCCTGTAAACTGAGCCAAGCAAAATAGATGTGATGGAGGAGACAAGTGATAACAAACTAATCAAAAGAAGAAAATGTAAGTGAATTGACTATCAAGTACAAAGTTGTTGTAGTGTTTAAGGGATTTTAGGGTTTTAACTTCTGCATGAATGATAGAATTTCAAAATGAATTGGCTAATGCAGCCACCATTAGTAGATGATGTTTTGCATGCTGTATTTAAGTCCCTCGGTCAAAGTCATAGCAGTGATGCATTATGTCAGGCATGAGCAGGTACCTGAGTAGATAAACCAACATTCTGTAAGCTTGTTTGATTTATGTAGTTTCCTCACATGAAAGTACACAGAGTCATCAGTGGTATTCAAAACTCGGAGCAGTGAGTTGCAAGTGATTTGAAGTCAACTTATCTAAGCCAAGCACACCCATTGTCTGCTTTATCTGAACTCTGTTATTTGAATTGATTATACATCAAATATCTGATATTGGTTGAGACAATATTGTTCCAGTTACTACAGTATTCCTTTGGACCACATTAAATATGCATTTGTTAATTGTTATAATGTAAATATTAACCACATTTCAGGTCATATCTTGGATAAAAATGGTTACCTTCAACAACTAGATATATTGGTCACAGTTAAATTAAGTAAGTACTTGTACAATATCTACAAAATGTGCTAAAATGATACTTTAGACAGTACTTTACCAAATACAATTCTCTTTGCCTGTTTTGTTCATCAACCATGTGAAACTTTATAGTCATCACAGTCCTCTTGTCTTGAGGAAATTTAAGGATCAATTACTCTTTTATATATCACCTCTAAAGAGATCATATATTTTGTTAAGTAAAAATAGCTTAGCCCTATAAAAAAATTTGTTAATGATTCCTGTCCTTAACCTCTCACTTACACAAAAAATAATGATGCAATAAAATAATTTTATATGGACTATAATTAATATGCAATTTTAGATATGAATAATTATTAATCTTAAGTTTAGTTAGAAAATTTGTTTGAATAATTTGGCCTCTAAATAAATGTCTGTCTTTTAAAGGCAATGCATATCTTATTCAGAATTTAAATTTATTTAAGAATTTTCATATGAAGTACTTTATTTATCAAATTTTGAAATATAAAAAAAGTAAAATAGTTTTTTTGTTTATTTTCAGATATTGTTGTCAAGAAGAATTTCCCTATTCATCGTAGAGGAGCAGAAACATGTTTGGATGGAACATGTGCTTAAACTTTGCATAAGTTTTGTTGAAACTTTCATTTGATATACTGTATTCCTAGAAAAGATTTCGCGCATTTTAAGTTAGCGCTTTTCGCGGTATGCATGATTCCGCGAATGTTTATAGCCGCGAATATGTCACTCATAACAAATCCGCGAACATTTCTAGCTTCAACCAAATAAAAACATAAACGAGCAGAATTTTTATAATAATCTACTTTAACACAAAAACATATAAACACAGGTGCTATATAAGTTTCAAAGTATTTCAGAACTCAATTCATGTACACACATGTGCCATAGAAATGTGTAAAGATTAGAATAATGTATGTATGTGATAGATACCTTGTTTAGACCCTGAAAAAATGTCAATCATCAGTAAAATATCATGCTTATGACGTTATTCGCTAGTCACGGCGTATACAAAAGCATTTACAGTTTGCATACATCTGAATGACTTGGATTTAATTGCTTGGAGTAGGTGTGATCCTTTGTAAAAAGTACAATAGTGATCAAGTGCTACATTGATAAAATTGATGTACAATCTGATACTGTGTAAAAAATACGTATCGACATTTTGAAGATAAAATCAGTTATGATTCATATGTTAATTAAAAGCTAAGGTCTTACTTAATCACATAGAGAAAAAATGTTAGGTAATAAGTAAAAAGTGTTTACGGAACAACCGTCCGTGTTAGACAAGTCAATAGATGAAAAGGTATCGAGTAGCATAGCGCTTTAGGCGCCACTTGTCAAAAAAATAAAAGAATTAAAAGTACCAAACAGGCAAGGTCATGCATCAAAAACGTAGCCTCCAAAAACTGTAATTTAGGCCGTAGCGACTTAATATTCGCGGAATTAGCGGTTACTACAAATCCGCGAAAATTTCTAGGAATACAGTACTGAAGATGGTTGTTGAATATTGTTTGTTAACAATATCTATATGACTATATGGCTGTAAAGAGAGATGTTGAAAGGTGCAATTTTAGTGCAAAGATGTGCATGTTTAACAACATGTTGAATGAACAAACATTATAATGCAGTAAAACACTAGGAATCATTATGTTTTCAAAACTTTATAACAACTTAGTAAATGTGTTGGAATGTCCATATATCCATCCACCAAAAGAAGGTATCTACATGTTAGTGAAACTTAATACATTATAGATGGATAAATCTCATTGGGGAGAAATAATGTGTTGAATTTTAATATGCCCGAAACAATTTTGGGCATATTATGTTATACCCCCTGGCATCTGTTCCTCCGTACGAACCCAGAGGTACTTGTGTGACTGGGTAACAGTATATAAATAACACATGGGTTTGTTGGTAACAGTAAAAATATCGTCCTGAGGAAAATACTGTTACCCGAGGATGATTGTCCATATTATTATAAGGTAGAAGACACCTATTGATTTTGAGGTCACAAGATCAAAGGTCAAGAACTGAAAACAGTTTCTGGAGCATAACTTAAGTTCCATTTGGCACACAGTGTTCAAACTTCATAGTATGATTGTCCATATTGGGTAGAAGACCCTATTGATTTTGGGGTCACAAGGTCAAGGTCACTATTGCCTTAAAACTGAAAACAGTTTCCGGAGCATAACTTAAGTTCCATTTGGCCACAGTGTTCAAACTTCATAGGATGATTGTCTATATTGGGTAGAAAATCCCTATTGATTTTGGGGTCACAAGGTCAAAGTCAAGGTCATTATTACTTTAAAACTGAAAACAGTTTCCAGAACATAACTTTAAGTTTCATTTGGCCACAATATAAAAATTTCATAGGATGATTGTCCATATTGGGTAGAAGACCCCTATTGATTTTGGGGTCACAAGGTCAGAGGTCAAGATCATTATTGCTTTAAAACTGAAAACAGTTTCCGGAACATGACTTAAGTTCCATTTGGCCCTGGCCCACAGTATTCAAACTTTATAGGATGATTGGCCATATTGGGTAGAAGACCCCTATTGATTTTGGGGTCACAAGGTCAGAGGTCAAGATCATTATTACTTTAAAACTGAAAACAATTTCCGGAACATGACTTAAGTTCCATTTGGCCCACAGTATTCAAACTTTATAGGATGATTGGCCATATTGGGTAGAACACCACTATTGATTTTGGGATCACAAGGTCAGAGGTCAAGGTCACTATTAGTTTAAAAGTGAAAACAGTTTCCGGAGAATAACTTAAGTTCCATTTGGCCCACATTAGGCCTAGCGGTGCTCTTGTTAGTTTTCGGCTCAATTTTTTTTAAGAATAAAAGAGTGTGAGCTATTGCTATGTACAGTCATGCCTTACTTTCTTGTTGTCATCCTAAAACTTTAACATTGGCAATTATTTCATTACAAAATGGATTCAATCTTCTTCACAACAACCCTTTTGACAAGACTTTCAAGTAGACCAGACATTTTTACCTCAATCATCATCAAATTTGTCACGATGCTTGTCTATGTAATTGCTTTATATGCGTTTTGAACATGGGTCATCTCAGATGAAAAACTAGGTCACAGGAGCTAAAAATAGAAAAATCTTGTTAACACTCTAATGGCTACTGTTTTTCATCCAAATATCCTGGACTGAAAGTCTGGTTTTTATGATTTTTATGTCAAATTTGAATATGGGTCACTGGGGTCAAAAACTAGGTCACACTGCTCAAATATGGAAAATCCTTGTTAACACTCTAGTGGTCAATGTTTGACTCACCTGTCATGAAACTTGGTCAGGATGCTTGTCTAGGTAATCATTTGTTCGGATGAGTTCGAACATGTGTCATCTCAGAATGAAATACTAGTCACAGGGTTTAATATAATATGGGTTTGATGGGTCAGGTGAGCGATCTAGGGTCATTTTGGCCCTTGTTGGCTGTAACTTGTAAGTAATCAATGGAGTATTTCAAACTTAGACAAACACAACCATTTGGACAAGACATGCTGAAAGGTTGAACAGACCTTGACCCTGAGCTTTAAATCACATTGACTGTCAAGTTCAAATTATTGAATTTGGTTAAGTTGTCATGAGGGAATGGTTCCCTTCTTACTGGGTAACATGGCTCTAAATTTCTTTATTACTGCATTTTACTTCTATTCAAACTGTTTTATATTTTGGTTGTATTTTTTGTAGTTTTGTTAAGGGGAACGGTTCCACTTTAGAAAGTTTGTTATAGATATGTTTTGAAATTTATTTTTTATTTTGAGGAGGGAATGGTTCCCTCTTACTGGTAACCTGGCTCTAAATTTCTAAATTATTATAATTGCATTTTAGTCTATCAAATTGTTATATCTATTTTGTTAAGGGGGAACAGTTCCACTTAAGAAAATGTGTCATATATAAGTTTTGAAATTATGTTTTATTTCGGTGAGGGAAGGGTTCCCTCTTACCATTTACATGGCTCTCTATTTCTAAATTATTGCATTAATTGTTATATCTATTTTGTTAAGGGGGAACGGTTCCACTTTAGAAAATGTGTCGTAGATAAAATTTGAAATTTGTCTTTTATTTCGATGAGGGAACGGTTCCCTCTTACCGGTAACATGGCTCTAAATTTCTATATTACTGCATTTCATTCTATCAAATTGTTATATATATTTTAAGGGGGAACGGTTCCACTCTAGAAAATGTGTCATAGATAAGTTTTGAAATTTATTTTTTATTTCGATGAGGGAACGGTTCCCTCTTACCGGTAACATGGCTCTAAATTTCTATATTACTGCATTTCATTCTATCAAATTGTTATACATGTACCAGTTTTGTTAAGGGGGAACGGTTCCACTTTAGAAAATTTGTTTATAATAGATAAGTTTTGAAATTTATTTTTTATTTAATGAGGGAACGGTTCCTCTCTTACCGGTAACATGGCTACTCAATTTCTATATTACTGCATTTCATTCTATCAAATTGTTATACATGTACCAGTTTTGTTAAGGGGGAACGGTTCACTTTAGAAAATTTGTTATAGATCAGTTTTGAAATTTATTTTTTATTTTGAGGAGGAACGGTTCCTCTTACCATTTACATGGCTCTCAATTTCTAAATTATTGATTTTATTCTATCAAATTGTTTTATCTATTTTGTTAAGGGGGAACGGTTCCCCTTTAGAAAATATGTTATGATAAGTTTTGAAATTTTATTTCGATGAGGGAATGGTTAAGCATAATGTATCTCTTATTACTGAAAAATTGCTTTTTATTTATCAAAACATGTTGTATTCTGTACATGGCTTTTGTTCTTCGGGGGAACGGTTCCCCCGAAAACATTTGCAAAAGAAACAAAAAATAAAATTTGGATGTTTACTTTAGCTGTTTGTCATTTACTTTTCACAAAACAATACCATTACTTTAGCTGAAAATAATGTAAAAATAGTGCATTAAAAAGGGGAACGAGTGTATTTCCCCTTTTTAAAATATATCGAGTTAGTAGTTTTCGTCTATCACAATATTCCGATTTCGATTATTCGAACCCATCGATTATTCGAAGTAAATATTATAAACGGGGTTGGGCTGTAACTCAAAAATATGAAATGCAGAGTACCGGTTCTTAGACACTTCACTTTTTCTTAATGATATCTATCATCCTATGAAGTTTCAAGTCCAAAGCTTTTATACATTAGGAGAAATGGCAAAAATAAAGTATGAAAATTAACAAAGGGCAATAACCCATAAATTAAGAAGTGCAGAGTACCGGTTCTTGTGCACTGCACTTCGGGTCATTATAAGAAGCATGCATACCAAGTTTGAAGTCAATCCAACTTATAATGACTGACTTGTGCTCCGTACAAGCTTCAGGGGACGCCGACACGGACTCCGACAACAACGCCGACGCTGACAAAAGTAACCCCTATATATCGCCTTTTTCAAGGCGACACAATAAAACTGCTTGACAACATTTACATCAGTCATTTGGTGAAAAAGAGGGAGGGCTGCAATAGAAAAGAAAGGGGATGAAAGTTGGGGAAACTGTGCATACAATGCCTACAGAGGTTGAGGGCAGTCAGGAAAGCTCGCCACAGAAGAAATAGCAATGAATGGCCATTCTTGGTTTTCACTTAAAAAAGTTATCCAAAGTAGCACTTCAAGTTCTTTAAATTGCCTGTTATCAGCATGAGGTCGTGACACCACAGTCTATCACCAAAGCTAAATTTTATTAACAATCTGAATATAAAAAAATATTATTGGATGAATCCTATTGCAGGATACCTTTAGGTATGGACTAATTGAAATCAACTCTAAAGTATATTATACAGCCAGTCACACAAAATATCCAGTATTTCATTCTATTTATAATAAAAAATAATAAGAAAGTTTCTGTATAGCCTGATAAGCACACTGCAAATAACCTAATTGTTTACAAACAGCTAGAATAGTCTGTCTGAGATAAACAGATAAGGACAAACAATTTGGTAAACATGTGTTGCTTCCCCTTAAATTAGAGACAAAATGGAATTTATTGTTAAATACATGCATGCAACATGCTTGAGCTCAATGAGCTGTCTAGTACTTACTGTATTAATTTAAATAACTTAATATAGGGGGATTGACATATTTCTAGAGATATTTTTTTAATTTTATTTTTGGGGAGTGGCCTTGCTTAACTGGAGCTACATAGGGATGCTGAATATCTTTTTAAAACATATCTATGGCCATATTATTTTTTTCACTCGACTAACATACCCGAACAGTAAGTAAGTATTCAGAAATTTACAAAGAAAATAATGAAATTCGGAACATTTCTTAGATATTAATTTTTTTTATTCAACACTTTTAAAATATATCATTTTAAACTTCCTTGCCCAGTTGTCTGCCAGTAATCAAGTCGCGACGCATTTTCATCACTATACCACAAGTGGGTGGGGTAACGCCCGCAGAATTATCATCAATGCTGTCGTACTAATGCTTGGAGAAATCCTTTATGTGATGTTGTCTACACGACCTCTTATTCTTTTGAACCGATCTCCTTTTGAACATTTATAAATATCTATTCTGTATTATTTACTCATTATTTGCTTATAGCCGAAATTTAAACACTTATCCGAATACTATTCAACTTGACCTTCATTTGAAGAGTAATTATCCGTGATTATCTTTCTTGGAAGCGCATAACGATGCGCACAGAAAACTACCGAAAACGTCTTTAAACGATTTATTAAAAAATCTGAATTATAACAATTGCATACTGTCGACTTTTTTCACATCATATCTTTGTTCCATTCACTGAAAAAGTTAGAATCATATAATAGGGACATTGTTCCTACTTTTTTTTTCATTTCAAAATTGGGCTAATGACATATTTCTTTTACCTTTTGACACGTATTTATATTTACTTGGTCCCAGAAATGTATTATTTTGAGGATTGTGGTACAGTATATTAGTTACAATAATTTCACAAAACAAATTAGTTTTAACTTACTTTAACTTTAGCTTATTTAGAAAATGTTTCATTTATGTTACACCGTCTATATATGGTATATGTTTTGCGAAAACTTTTCGAAATTACATCACTATTATTTTATTTTGTAATAGACTCATAGAAATGAAGCTATAGCGTACATAGTGCATGTTGAATAGTAATATTAAAACGTAAATCTTCAATTCTTACGTTTGTTTAAAGTCCTTATTTCAGGCTTGTTTTAAGTTAGTAATATAATAATATTAGTTTCAGGAAATGTAATGAAAATTCAAAATAATTTTAGTCAAATATAAAGTATATAATACTTAAGTAAGTATACAATTATTTAAGGGGGATAACTCTTTTACCCTTTTGACCCATACCGTCGTAACACGTTTTTTATTTTTCACAGTAACGTTTTTAATACTATTTACAATTGCTGGGCAAAAATCAAGTTTGATACAGTATTCAATTCATATTTTAATGTGACAAAAGGAATAATCTCTTGCATAAACTATTTATATGATTTTGTTACTTTAATTTTTCTTTCTTCTCAAAAATTTGGAAAGATAATTTTAAGTTTACATTAAAAATCCCTTGACTTTTCAAATTATCTAAAATGTAAATTGAACGAAAAAATGTGTGTTTTCAATATATCTTAAATATTAATATTTCATTCGGTACACATATATATTAATAGCTAAAATATTAGCTCATTATAAGATCAAAATGTGTTGAAGCTATTCGCGCGCAATATTATGACAGAAAATGATTGAAAAACAAAACTAATAGATTACGGTTGTTACATAAACATTTATGTTTAATTTTGTTATTCTGAATAAGTTGCTTATCAGCGAAACTTTAACTTTTTTTCAATGAGACAAAAAATTATATTAAAAATAGTTTGTACTATTACAAATGAGTCATATATCAGATTTCGAGTGTGTAGGAGTATTGACTTACAATTTATATACGTTTAGTGTACCCATCAATACATACGAGGAAGTTAATTTAAGGTTTGCAAATCATCTTTATGAACAAAATAAGTATGATGATACTATGAAAGGAAAGTTTAAAAAGGCGAGAAATGGGTTCACTTTACTGGTTATGTTTTGTGATTTACATGACAGTTTCTAATGAAGGTAAATATAAAAGTAATTGTGGCTTTAAAATTTATTAAACGGTTATATAAATATAACCTGTTATTGAATTAATATGTTTATTGTTAAACTTGTCTGTAAGCAAGATATATATAAATATTTAATGTCACTCGATCACTCCTTTAAGTTATACTTTGCAAAAAGCGGGAATGTGCAACATGTGTCACTTTAATAGAAGGTCATCTGCTGTTTTTATTATCTAATCTTTTTATCACGTATACTAAGGTTTCTTAAACACCTATTAGAGTAAACTGTCATTTGGTGAGATCGTTCAAAAAGAATTTATAAAACGACGAGTTGAATTTTCAAGTGTACTGTTTACCTATATCAATATTAATAGCAGTGTTGACATGGATACATAATTACCATATTTCAACATACAAACATAATTATGTTTTGGTTTTATAAAAGATTTAACCCAAATTATTGGCAAACAGTTTCAGTAAACAGCCAATTTGTATTTTCTCAAAAACACTTATTCATTTGTGATTTTTCTATTCCTGTGTAATTACAAACTTTATGTTTCATATGCCTCATTCTGAGACGCTTTTGCATACAAATAATCCAGGAAATAACAATATATGGATAAATGTATGACATTAATATAATTTACATTTTATACACAAGATAGTGTTGTTTTGTTTCAGTTTACTACACGTAAACATTTTTCTTTTCTAGATGTTATTTTTATCTATCATCCAGGAAATTAGTAAACAGGTGACGTTTTTGCAATACTCCCCACTTGCCCGCCTATTTACCCGTAAACCAGTTTAAAATATAAAAAATGTTTTGACTAAAAAGGGTGTTCTGTAAACAATAACACTGTCTCTCAGGGTAAAAGTGCATTTTAGCAACCATTGAACTGCAATAAACCTTCGGTTCCCGCATCGGATGTTACTTCAGTTTCTCGGGTTGCTTTTCATGCACTTTGTTACCATGACAGACATGTTTTGATTTTTCATATTATTACTAACTCTTTACCGTTATACTTTGATTATATTATGATGTAAAGATTATACCCATTTTCATTACAGTTCATTTATGTAAGAATTATTCCCGTCAGTTGTAGATGAAAAATGAAGGGCAATCAGCAAGCTTCAGATGTTTAACAATGGTACTGCGGGAAGAATTCGATGGGGTCATTAATGGCAATAACATTTGCTACTTTTGACATAGATTCGTGCATTTAATTTTTCGCTTCCAACAAATAATAAATTCAACTTGCACTGTCTCAAAACATTTAGTGACACAATACTGACTTTACAAATATCGACTATTTCAAGGAAGATCATAATACGTCCTTTAGTGTATGATACTTTCCTTAAGTGGTTTAGAGAGCAAAGGGCCAGTACTTTATGTAAAAAAGGTAGGTATAATTGATGGGGGAAGTGTTATTTCCATTTAAAACACTTATAATGTAAAACATAAATAATGATTTTTAATAGATTATAAAATGTTAAAAAATAGCAAAATTATAAAATAATGTTAAAAGTGTTTAAATAAAACCTGTAACCAAGAGAACTTTAATGTTGCATGATAACAATACAATAAGCATGACGATTCTGTTGCTGCGCAATTTCGTTCCTGTATTTTTTCCGCGAACTACATGTGTGCAATATATACCTAAATATGTCCAATCTTGACTTTATACCAAACAAATGGAAAACAGTCAAAAATGTTTTTGACCATGACATTTAGGAATATAAAAATGGATACAATATACTTTTACAAAACACACGCAGCGTTTACATTTCAATATCGACACGTGAATTCTTCCCAACACCGGGAAGTACAAATGGAAATAGAGACAAGGAATAAGTTACGGGGCCTGAAATAAGTTTAAAGCAATAAAATTTTTGATGTTTAAATTCCCAAAAATAAAAACTATTCGTCCTTTTTACCAAGTCCTTGTGTTAATTTTAAACAAAAAACCAAAAAAATATTTTTTAAATTAAATTTTAAGCAATCTTTGTCGACCCAGTACTTTTTATAAAAATTTGAAAAAAAATTTTTTTTTATATTAAAAACACCCGTTTCGAATACACTTTAGAGAGATACAAAAAAAAAAAAAAACAGAGAATGATGTTTATGTAAAAACCTTCTATTTATTACCTTGGGGGATTGCTTTTGCTATTTTTTTTCTTATGTCATGGGGCATTATAATTTATTTTTTAAAAACAAAAATGAAAGAAGTGAATAGTTTTACAATATGTAGGAGGTTCAACATCAAAAATTATATATTTTAAAATTACATAGATGTGCATTGTGAAACAAATTACTCTCTTTTGCATGATGTGTAGGTAACTGAGTCTTAAAATTACTATTCGTTGTATTGAATATAATTATTATGTAGTATGCTAAATAAACTTAAATTCATTAGTTTGTGGCGTGCAAGTATTCATTTCATGTTTTCAAACATTAAAAGTTAAACTGTTATGTTTTAAACACCGCATTGATATAAGTCACTGAACCTGGTATATGCGTGGAACAGACTGCCACTGCGATTATGTTGAATAGTCGTCATAAAAACAAAACTTTGAAATTTTCCCTTTAATGCAAACCAGGAAGTTTGTGAACAGTATTTTTAAAAGCTTTATAACAAAATTTCATGACCAGGACGAAGTGTTTAAACCTATTGAAAAGAAGGTTTAAATAATCTTTGAAATGGATTTACATTTCAATTATTGGTTATGTTTTGTGATTTATATGGCCGTTTTAAATCAAGGTAAAAAATTTAATGTGATTTAATGTGAAATGTAGGTATGACCTTAAATACATTTATACTATCTTACATTGATATCGGTCAAATTAATGTTAATATTCAATGTCATTGATTTACCTAACATTTATTATACTTTTCATTGGAAAGGGGTCTTGTAGTATTTGCGACATAAGCGGAGGTCATGCGCCTATCAAATACCTACATAGCACCTTTCATGTCAATGTAGTTCTTAATAGTCCGCATCATATATTTGAAATTGTATTTTGATAATTGTTGGCAGCAATTAATCGAACAAGAACTACTGTTTTATTTCCAATATAAATATCTATGTAGTATGATGGTAACTTATATATTAATTATTTGTTCTGTTTATGTGTGTAGTCAAATATGTACATTTGTGTATTTTCTTCTTATTCAGTTAACTTCGATTAAGTTAAAAACAATATAGGTCAACATAAAAATAAACTCCGCATTATGTAAAATCAAGAAATAACATGGTTATATGTGATGTGAAAATAAAACTATGAAGGTACTTACGAAGATCCCATTTCATAGCTTTCAACCATTTTTTGTTTCATATTTTTGCTTTTGCTTTGATATTCTAATTTTTGGTGTTTTAGTCCTGATTCCTTCTTTGCTGGATAATCAATTTTGATTGCTTCTGATCACATAAACATAAAGAAACAATTTTATATTTTCATACTTTTAGTACCTTTTTTCTTTGAAATTATAATGGTAGTGATCTTCTAACACAAGTTACTCCTATCCTAATCCTTTTTTTTTTTAAATTCCAGCATCATAAACCTTATGTAAACGTAAACAATTCAATTCAATTATACGCTCGCCTCTTTATTTTGAACGCTTTCAATTATATTAATATTTCATTCATTAAAAGTTGACAAATGAGTTGCACATTCGTTTTTTTATAACATAAACAAGGATGTATTGCAGGTGCTTAACTAATATACGTTTGAGACGTATTTAACAATATTTTGTTTTGTGGTTCATGAATTAGGATCTCTATCAATAGATGTCATGATAATACCAAAAGAAATTGATGATTTTGAGGAAAGCAACATTTCCTTCAAATGTGTTCACAGTGGAACAGGATTAATGATGTCATGGCAACGAAAAGATGGGAGTAATATATGCGCATTTACAACACGTGATTGTGTTGTTCTAATGGCAACACAAGGCAATATCGCGTGTACTTGTGATAAAGATTATAAGAACGAAACAACCGTTTCTTTACAAATATTAAACATTTCAAGTGCTGATCACAATACTTCCTGGTTTTGTACAGTGGTAAATATGACACACAGCCTAAATCAAAGAGCATCATTATTTGTCAAAGGCACGTATAAAAAAAATTATAATCCAATATTTATAAATGGATTTATCGGTCTGTTCCTAATTAAAATAACCTGACATAATCAAAAGTTTCAACTGTAATTTATGTTATATTTTTGTTAAAAAATATAGAAATGGTTAATAAAATCTGTAAAGCACAATTTGAACATAAGAATATTCTGAACTCAATATTTCTCATTTCAAACCCAATTGTTTATGTCAAATGAGGTAAAAATGAATGTCAATAAATATACTTTTACCTGGCAATTCATACTGCCAATGACCATAGGGTTAACATCAATATATATCCTCTAAGGAAACAGATGCATTTTGATGTTTATTAAAGTAGAATACAAAGAAAATCAAGACTGGAGATATCGCAATATTCTTACAAATTTCAATATCGAATGTGTTATATGAAGTTATTGATATCTAATGTACGTTTAGTTCCAGTCAAAGCATTGACTATCACGCCTACCGAGAAGTCCATACAGATTTCTGAAAACAAAACCACAACGTTTACTTGCAACACTGCCTACAGTCGACCGATTCCGGAGATCCAATGGATTTTAAAGAATCACAGTCATTTGCTATTAAATGGAGAGCAAACAAATACAACTAACAATATAGGTTTGACTTCAGCGGAGAGTACACTTAATTACAAACCTAGCAGAACATACAACGGATGGGAGCTTTATTGTATTGTCATCAAGTCGGAAGTGCAAAAGGAGGAAATATCATCAAATTTAGTTACACTTAATGTCACATGTAAGTCTAACAAGCTCAATCAAACTGAGCATACAATATTTTAAATTGTGCCGTTTTTGCCATCTGTTGGGATTCTATTTATCTCTATTTTACATTTATATAGTGTAACTTGAAATTTTCTTTTCATAATGGCTATGAATTAATTGTTTAGCTTTGAATTCCATTGTTTGGTAGTTTGCATTCTGTTTTTTATTATTTTCTTTGTTTCAACAAATATCATTTAATTTATTATTTCAGATCCACCGGATACAACGTTAATGATAAATGGGTTTCTCTCAAATGGAATTTATTATGTTATTGAAAATAACACAGGTACTTTAACTTGCAAAATCACTGGAGGAAATCCAAAGCCTTTATTGACATGGACTAGATGTTTTGGTAATGAAATTTATATTAGTTCTGGCAGCTACTCTACAGCAGAATGTACCACAAATACGTTGACTTGGCGGGCAATGTCTTACACTGACAGATTATGTACTTGTCAGTCAATACAAATGGAAAGAAATGACTCTGTGTCTATCAATGTCAAAGTATTATGTAAGTTTGAACGTAACACTTGTTATAACAGAGTAGTTAAAATATTCAGCAGTAATAAAACAATTACATTAAGATAATAACATTTTCGTTAAAAATAACACGGGTTATTCATTTACAAACTTACAAAATGAACATTGAATTAATACTTACAAGCAAGGGTTTGAAAATTGCATTTTGCAAGCTATATATATTGAATGTTATGATTTTCTCATTTACCTTTATTTGCGTTATATCATTAAGTCATTTCAATATCAACTTACTTATCTATTTTCTTTGTTTGAAGATCCTCCTACTATACCAATAGTCACGTATAACTCAAAACGTGTGTCTGGAGATATATATATCACGCTAAACGAAAAAATGTTGTTGGATTGTTATAGCAATAGTAAGCCCCTTCCAACTTACCAATGGGAAGCAAAACACATACCAGTGACTTTCAATAGAACATTGCAAATTCTTGAGACGAAAAAGATGCACCAAGGACATTTTACGTGTCTTGTTACAAATACAATGAACGCAACCGAAAAAATACAGAATGGTTCAAGTAGAAGCACTGTTGAAGTCCATGTTCTTTGTAAGTATTGTACTACTTTTTTCATCGAAATTAACTTAAAACACTCGTAACAAAAACTAAAATATATATTGACATGTAGTTCCATGCTTTAATCAGCTCTCTAGAACTTTTGTAGAATGAAGGTCGCTGATTTCAAAAAATTGTCCTTTCCGCTATGGGTTTAAATCCTTTCAGGGATGTTGGATTTTTTCTTATGTGAGGAAGCTACGTGTATCTGGCTGGCTAACGGAACATCGGTTGTTCTACTAATGTACCCGCTCGTGCCTGAAATATTGTAGGGAGAGTGCCTGAGTATTCCTTCTCCAGTTTAACTGGAAGTTCGAAATTTGCTCATTGTTTGTTCAAAGAAACCTCGATTCTGGAAATTGTGTTTATATATACAAGAAAACATACTAGTATGAACACTATATTATACGAACTAATTCGAAAAAAATAAGTTTACAAAACAAGCATTATTATAATAATCATAATGTTGATAAGATATCGATACTTGTAGCCGCAACTTTTAAGATAAAATCAAATGTATACAATGTATTTATTTTTATTATTATTATTTCTAAACTTCAATTTTTAAATGTTTCTATCCCTTAATTTTTTAAGTCAGAAGTTTATTTTTAACTACTGTAAATGGTTCATATGACATGTTCACTGATATGTTTAAGAATATCAAATATTTGAAACGTAATGACCTGTTAAAAACGCTAAAACATGCCGTGACTTAGCTGGCTGTAACAAAAATTATCAGAAGAAATTTAGAACATGTTCAATATTATCAGAAGAACTCTAGGACAATGAAATTAGGGCAAACATTTGTTAGCCGGACATTATGTTTGCAACTTTCCATTTTAATTAGGTAATTATGTATGGCAAGGAAAAATATAACAAGTCATGTCAACATGTACAAATGAGCAAATGTTTGGAAAGATGCTTCTCTAAAGATTAAGTATGTTTAAGACTATTACATGCAAGTATTTTTATCTGTAACTTCAAATACAAATCGTTTTAAAATAGGGCGTGTGTACGAAAATAGATGATTGAAAAAATAAAAAATAAAACATCTGAACAAAACTATAGGTTGATTTGAAAATAAATAGAAGTTTGAAACGTTTTGTTTATCCGCTTTCAAGCACGTTAGGAAACCTTACATAAAAGAAGATGAGCATATACAGATCTCAAACTTTATGTTATGGCTATGTACCTCAGTGGAGCTCAGCCTTCAACACAACTGGAATGATATACCACAACAACAACAACAACAACAAAACAACCCCGCCCGAAAACAACAGAAAATGAAAAAAATAAACAATAATTATCACACCCCTATCCCTTCAAAAAATAAATAAATAAATAAAAATGAAAAAAAAATCATAAGAAAATAAAAATAAAATGGAATGTCCCCATGATATAAATAATAAATTATTTATTAGACGTTTGAAACGTTTCTAGATCCGCCTGCAATTAACACATTAGAAAACCTGACATTGGTAGAAGGAGATCATCTTAACTTTTCATGTTCGGTTACTCATGGAAACCCAAAGGAAACGGTATTTTTGTGGACATCTGAGAGGCACATGACCTGGTCAAGTCAATATCTAACAAAACGTAACATTTCAAGGGATGACGACATGAATTACAACTGCAGTGTTTACAACATTATGACACTAACTGGAAAATCACCTGTTAAAGGAACAGACACTAAAATGTGGCATCTATCTGTAGAATGTATGTACTATCTTTTTTGCATGAACCATATAATATCATATACATGTAGTTCTAAAAATTGTCTTACAGGTATTTATTCAACACAATAAGTGAAATGTTGTTTATCTATCTTATCTATCGCAAAATTTTAGATTCTACATACTTATTAAACTTCTATTCTTTCCGTTTAGTGATTGAAGAGAAATTCCCATGAAGTTAATTCATAACAAAATGATTCATTTTCAGACTCTGCGACAATAAAGGATTTTTACGTGAATGGATACAAATCTGAGCGTAATGTGACAGCAACTGAATATGACAACGTCACCTTTATTTGCGACATTGACAGTAAACCAATTTCGAATACGAGTCTACGATTCACGACGGACAAAACTTTGGTTTGGACTCATTCAAATATGCTGAGTTTCACACTTAGCTCTGCCAAATGTACAGATTCTGGAACCTTTTCTTGTTTCGGCAAAAACAAACACAACATCGGAGTCGGTTCAACAAAGCAACTTGATTTATCGATAAGATGTTAGTATATAACAACTTACTTTCTGTTTTTACATGAAATCAATATAAGTTAAATATAATTTATTATCAGGTAACTCAATAATATGAGATAGCAAAACCGTTTTTCCTTTGAAATAATATAAAACAAATAAGAAGACTTGACTGTTTGCAATATAGTTAATGAACGGTATTTGCAATATGAATTGTAAACCGAGGAAAGTTTGCAAAATTTATTTCAATACCAACCGTTTGATATACATATGTAGTGAATTAAAAGACCATACACACATATTACTTGTCAATGTCAGCAAATAATAGAAATAAATGACACTGAATGATCTTATTAATGCTATTATTCAACACAACAAAACATCATCTCATATTTTTAATTAATTTGATTTTACAAAATTTTATAATATATGCTTATTTTATGTTTGGTTTGGTATAAAACAAATTAAGTTGCTCATATCATGCTATCTTGATTTGATATAGGTTCACCGAGAGCTAATCCAACGGTTCCATTCACTACAAACTTAACATTAGCAAGTAATGTTACTGCCGTTCTTTATTTTCCTATCCTTGCCTACCCTAAACCAGAAAGTGTTATTTGGCAGAAATATTCAATGTCTAATTGGATAAGTGTTACATCAAACAACAATATCAATATATCAAATAATGAGTTAAATGTAAGTCTATCTATATACAACTTGATGGAGACCGAATTCGGGCGATATAGGCTAATTATTTCTAATGATGTTGGTTCATACATACAAAACTACTACATCAACGCTGAAGGTAAAGTTTTAATGCACACTTTCTGTTCTATGCTTATATTACTTTCCAAATTATCTTTGATAAAATGTTTATTAAAAAAGGTAATTATTGATTTATATTAAATAAAATATGCATGTAAACACAAAATTGGTCATTATATAACGATATATTATTTAATATGTAATATCCATAAACGTTTAAAATTTATGATGTAAACAAAAGTATCACACTTGTACCCATTGTATTATTGACTGCCAATTTTATCATTTATGATACTAAGTACAAAATAATGTAAATGATATTTTGTATGTTCTTAATACTAATGAATTAATTGGAACTCATAAAGCATTTATGCAGTATAACTTTGCATTCGTATTATGCCTATTGACTGGTTAAAGGTAAAAAATACAGTAAATTCTGACGTTTGTTATTTTATTGATATCAAATTATAATATAGCTTTATAATGTTTTAATTACTATACAAATACAACTTCCATTGACCACTGACTTAAATGCAGGATATAACACAGCACTGATAAATGTAAGTTTCTTTTGTTTAATCGCATAATCGTGGTCAAATGCCGGTATTTATCATTAGAAAGACCAAATCCTCCGACGGGCTTTCGTGTTCTCAACAAATTAACAACAGCTTCAACTGCAACAGTACAATGGTTTCCTTCTTTTAATGGTGGAAAACCCCAACATTTTGTATTGAACTACTCCAAATCACTACAGAAACACTGGGCACAAGAAGAAATAGAAGACACAGGGGAACCAGTACTTATTTATACGATAAATGGATTGTCAAGCAATTCTGTCTACTACATCTTTTTACATTCTGTTAGTATGTTAGGATCATCTAAGTTGTCTGCACGTCTTGAAATCAAGACCAAAGGTAATCTCATTGTTTTAAGTGTAACATATTTAAATTTGTTTACTTAAGTCATGATTTATACTCTAATTTCATACAATGTCACCTATTTTATCTGAAACAATCAACAGCAAAACTTCCAGCTTTTTAAACGTTTAAGATATTAACTATTTCGTGCGTTTTCTTCAGAGGGGATGCATATAGATGGTAACACCAGTTTCGTCGGGACAACTATAGGGATTAGTATCGGTGCTGTTCTGTTGTTGCTTGTAATATTCATTAGTATATACACATTAAGAAGGTAAATTAATTTAAAAACAGTTGATCCATGTAACGTGCCAATCAAAAAAATACCTTTGGTACAAACCTCTTAAATATTCTTGAAGTGCATTTATTTATTTGACTTTATATATACATTATTAGAACAGTACTTATATCGCAACTGTTACACAAATGTATCTATAATTGTTGAATCAAAGAATTGTCAAGCAAATAAAGATTAACAAATGTATTGTTAATTTAATTTCCTATATTGGATGTCTAATAATTGTGCATAAATTTCAGGTTTAAGCTGAGATATCAACACACAAGAAAAAACGTATATCAAAACTTTATTGGTTTGTAATCTTTATTCATTTTTTTTATAGTTGGTTACCTTAATTGATGTCATAAATGTTTCATACAAATGTGCAAATATATTTTATTAAGATGCATACTTAATTATAGGTGTATGTTTTTGTCACATATAAACTGGTGTGAAATATCGTTTAATACCAATGTTAGAGGTATTGTAGCAGTTCTATGACAGTTTTGTCTAGCTTTTTTATTATGATATTTTGTTGCAGTAATTTTGTAAGCAAGCTGAAATAAAAGGACTTGTAATCATTATAAATAATTACATTTTTCAATTGGATTTATGCTTACATTGTCGTTGTTAAATAAACGAAATTCAAACGAGACTGTAATGAATTAATTTTCATACTCAATCAATCTAAAATCAATTTTATATAATCTAAATGTGTAGGACCATCAACACAAAAGATAAATTCTGCAACTGAATACGAAGGCATTGATCTTAATACAGTTGGAGCAAACATAGAACCGAATGACCAAAACAACACAGGTATTTCCATTGTTTCTTTTGTAATTCTAATTATAAGTGTATGCTTATTGAAGATACTATTATGATATTATATTTAAAGAGAATAGGTAATGTGATTTAATTAAATGTTCGTTTTACATGATTACGTTTGTAATTAAGGTATTATGTCAATAAATTTGCAACTGGACCCATTCGGTAATTCATGAAATTATTGATACGTTTAATGAAATATTATGGTAGCTTTTTAAATGTAATATTGTTAATCATACTTTGGATTTCACTTAAGACACAATTACAGACGCTCTTCCACAAAATCCTTATGAGAAACTTGATAACATCCTGAAAGACAGTAATCAGTACAGTGAACTTAAACCAATGGATGACAACCGTGAAGATATTTCCAGGAAAAGTAATGCTGATTCAGCTCCAGAGACCTTGCAAAAAGACTTCGATAAAGCAATATATATGAATATGAAAATATGAGGACCAAAATCTTAATGAAATCAATACTGGTTATTTGTTGTTATGTTTGTGATTGTTTTTAACTTCCAGCACAGTTATGCTGTGTAAATACGAAATAGTGATATCTATAAACGATGTATATAAAATATAATATTAACAAATACTGAAAACAATCGTACAAACGCCAAGAAAAACGTACATTGAATATTCTTAAAACTTTTAAAATTCACTAGATGTTCATGCAGTGAATTCTTATTTATATATGTATATGTCTTTAGCCTTTCGACTGATTAAATAGCAAATATTACTAAAAGTAAGAGTTACTGTACTTTCTTTTGTTAATTCAGATTATATTGATGCTAGAAACTTTGCTTTATATTGATGCTTGAAACTTTGCTTTATCAATATTGGTAAATATTTGTCATTTTTGTTTTTGCTTTTATCATTTAGCATGTGATATATAGCAAAAATGTCTGCTATGTTCTTTTGTGGTATGTATTTGATTATGCAAACAAATACTGATTCAGAAACAAATGTTATAAATCATGTTTTCATTTGTACTAATGTAAACAAGGACGGACTCACTCGAGTGTTTGCATAGACCCTATACACATTATTACCGTTCAGGAAGTATTATTAAAATACTTGAAGGGTTTAAAAAAATATATTGTACATCCTGAATACTTTATCAAGAGTACTTTAATCCCGATGGATTTAACAATTTTTCTTCACATCCTGAAGAGTGTAACAAACAATCTTTACACTAGATTATGACATTGTCAATCAAGCAGACGTAAAGAGCAAGATATACAAAGTTTAACCACACGTGTTGTGTGACATTCTGTCAAGTTAAAAAACCTTTTGTTTGTCTTATTTTGGATTTATATTCCTGTCTAGTTGCAGTTGTGTCATATCTCGTCAGCAGATCACTCAAAAATTTTTGTCGGGTACACTAACCATTAATTACTCATTTCCTCCAAACATAACCGATTACTTACTAATCCCAAGTGATTTCTGAATCAGCATTGACAGACTTATGTCAACTTTTAAATTACTCTATGCGCAAGATCAATTGCGACAGAGAAATATACACCGTGTATTTTATGAGAATTCGTTAAAACTCAGCTGCAACATTGATGTAACACATTTGTAATGAATTCACCGACGTGTCGTTTTAATTTACTAAATAGTATTCTTTTTTCATTTGTAAATCTTGTGCATTAGTTTCAAAACATATCAAATGCCTTTTGAATAATTTATGCCGTTTTTTGTGACCTATTTCTTTTATTTTTACCAATTTCGCAATTAAGAAAATTAGGGACGTAGATTGCAGCTTTCATGCTTTTTGTGTCCATGAGCAGGCCTTAAAAATGTTTCATGAATGTGAGAAGTTAATGCAATCGTCGTTCCCACCTACCATTTACATACTTTTTAAAATAAAATAAGCCTGGAAGTAACTGTTCAATTGCTTGATAGTATGTTTATGTTTTCAATTTAGTTGTGTAAAGTTTCTTAAGGGCTTATTTCACTATAATTTATAATATACAAAGTTGCACTCAACAATTATATTTATGCTCAAGTGGTGATTTTATTTTAGAAAATTAGTAATTGAAGGGCGATGACGGAGGCCTGTATGTACAAATGACGTCCATGTTTAATCTCAGCAAAACAAGTTTTGAAACTTTCTTTTTTTTTGAGTCACTGGTAACAAGCTGGGTTTGAATTACAAAACACGTCACTATTGTTAGTGTCGTTTGTGGAGGCTGTTTTCTCATGCAAATATACTTGTATATTTTTTATTAAATCCTACTTTTATTGTATTGTTACACACATATATTTTGCACTTCAAAATAGATCTGTTTACAAAGTGTTCTTCTAATTGGTATATCTATATTTCTAAATTAGCCTCCTGGAGATAGTGCGTCCACTTTCTTTGCCAATTTTAATGAAATAATACGTCGGATTGCGTTTAAGTTTGGTTATTCAAAATATGCGTTTTTTTGGCTGGAATGTCTATGCGTCCGCTCAGTCAAAAATGAAACGTTTGCATACATTTATTTTTTGTCCAAAATCAAAACTCAAAAGTATTCAAGATCTGAACTTGAAAATTTACTAATAATTGAAATTTTTCAATAGAAGTACAATGTTATTATTCATAACAAACTCATATTGAAGTAATTCAGTCCAATATTTTATAAAGTTAAATGCATGTGTTATAATAAATTATCCCTAATTGCGACAAATAAAAGGCAGTGTAAAACATTTACAAGTACTACGGTAGTAGAGTATCGTTAAAAATCAATATAATTTTTTACATAGAGAAAACCGATAGAAGATTGTTTATTTGACTGAATGACCTGCATTGTATTTTTCAGTTCATTTTATGTACATGTTAGATATTGTTTACACAAATTGTTTAAACCAGGAAGTTATGCAAACCTTTTCACAATATATAAATACGGTTTACCTGTGCCCATTTAAAGTACAAGGTTACAAATAATAGGACAATGCTTGCATGAATTACTACGATACGGTTTTAGGCAAGTAGAGCTCTTTTTTCAATTGCATGTACATATTAAATAGCAGAAGTTATTAATCATTGTTCAGGACATCACTCATCGTATGCGACGAGCAACATTTTGTTGTAAATGTACGTTGGACTTGGCGGATCTTAATTTAAGATATTGGCAATGTAGATGTGTACCTGTCAAATAACATCAATAATATATAATTCATAATTATAATATTTATTACTTACTGCAACCAACTATATAATTATATTTATATAACCCCAAGCAAATATTGATAAATTGGATCAAATAATGATTTGCACGGAAATTTTATTTTCTATAATTGATGTAATTTTATAAAAAAATCAATACGTCACAGTTGAAGCACTATGTACATCCGGTCCACAGCAATTACTTACATCTACTCTTAATTCAATGAAGATTTCAAAACAGTGACGTATCCGTCTTTTCTAATACGTACAGAGAAGAATTGACTTATATTGATTCACGTACCCACATTGGGCGCTGAACATCAAAGCAAACTGATATAGACTCGAAAACGGTGTCCTTGCAATAGGTTTCCTCAGCTCTTAAAGTTGTTTATTTTATGTCTTGTTAAACCTGACCCGTAGCAGGATATATAATATCTATACATGGGTAAACTGTTATATGCAATTAAATATTTGTTTAAACATATTTATTCAACAAAACATTGAACAAGTAGACAATATTTTCAAAGTACATTTTGGGATTGGGTCTAAGAAAACTATAAAGATTATGAGTGTCCTCTCTCTATTATAAAAAATGTTTTGAAATTTATGAACAATAATAAATACTGTCCCGAAATCTTATGGACAAGTTTCGATGGGAATTTAAGATAATATGTCTCTTTTATTTAGCACATATGATAAATATAAGAGGTAGACAAAATAAATTAAAAAAGAGGATGATAACCGTTTAGCATTGATTTTGTGCATGCAACATTCGCTTTTGAGAAAACATACAAATATATTTCTTTTAAACAGGTATTGTAACGATTTGTTTTTTTAATTGTATATAGCTTTAGTTTATGCATTTATCGTTTTAAACTATTTAAACTATTATTACCAAATGAGTAAACTCTTGTTATATCCAATTAAAAAAAATGAATTATAATTTATAAACAGTAAATATATGTTCCGAATTCTTATGGACAATTTTGATAGGAATGTAGCATACAATGCTTCTTTAATTAAGCTCTAATGATTAAAGTAGACAAAATACATTGAACAAAAGAGGAAAATAACAGTTTAGCTTTTTTGTGTATGCAAAATTCGCTTAAGGAAACATACAAACATATTTCTCTTTTACAAGTATTTAATTTTGTGTTTCAAAATTTTATATACCTAAGTTTATGCACTTTTTTAAACTAGTGTTGCCAAATATTGTTATTTTAGGTAAATGTCTTGAACACAGCGATGACTTTTAGATTGACAATTTTGACAATTTGTGTTTTAAAAAGAAGGTATACTATCTGATTAGTTTAACATAACAGTGCGTTTTTAATGTCACTAATTACATACAGATGAATAAATACCTTTACATAAACCTGGTGTTGTATGTGCACTGTGGATTGAAGTAATGCAACATATTTTTATGATATAAAGTAAAGGGGATCACAGGTTTAATATATATCACGGACCTTGATAAAGAGTGTATAACGTTTTGTGACTGATTACAAGGAGAAACAAGAAATGTCGAACGACACATATGCCCCCTTTTCTAGCCATTGAATCACATTATTTGTAATTTTGTTATAGGAACTTGCCAAAAATGGGTATATTGAAGTGTTCAGTTATGGAAAAATAAATAATGAATACTTTGTGATAAATAGTATTCAAGATAATGAGAAATTTAAGGCCCCTGTGACCTAGACCTTTGAACTAGTGACCCAAAATTAATTAGGGTCGTCTTATAGTTATGACCAATCAATATAAGAAAAATGAGGACTTTGTGATAAATAGCTTTTGAGATAAAAGCGGAACCATACGAACATTCAAGAGCCCTGCGACCTTGACCTTTGATCTAGTCACCCCAAAATCAAAACGGGTCACTAACTAGTTATGACCAATCAGTATGTGAATTATGAAGACTTTGTGATGAATAGCTTTCAAAATTATATGCGGAAACCATTCGGACAGTTAAGGCCCCATGTGACCCTGACCTTTGATCTAGTGACCCCAAAAGCAATACGGGTCATTTGTTGGTAATGACCACTCACTATGTGAAATATGAAGACTCTGAGATTATTATTTTCAAGATAATGAGCTGTCATCATACTACCATTCAAAGACCCTGTGACTTTGACCTTTGCCCTGGTGACACCAAAATTAATAGGGGTCATCTATTATTTATCACAAATCCAATTTTGAACTTAGAAGACTTTGTGATAAATATTAGCCAATGTTATAAGCGGAAATCATATTGCCATTTAAGGCCCCGTGTCCTGGACCTTTGACCTAGCGAACACAAAATTAGTATGGGTCATCTTCTAGTAATGACCAATATGAAGACTTTGTGATGATTTGTAACGAAGATAATGAGCCGAAACCATTCTGACATTTAAGACCCATGTGACCTTGACCTCTGACATAGTGACGGCAAAATCAATAGGGATCATGTACTTGTTATGACCAATCAATTTGTGAAATATAAGAACTTTGTGATTAATACTTTTTAAGATTATCAGCGGAAACCATTTACACATTTATGGCTCATGTTACCTTGACCTTTGACCTAGTGACACCAAAATTAAAAGGTGTCATCCACTAGTCAGATCAATCAATATGTGAAATATGACAACTTTGTGGTAAATAGTAATCAAGATAATGAGCAGAAATCATATTACCAGGCCCTGTGACCTTGACCTTTGACCTAGTATTCCGGAAATCAAGAGTGTTTAACTACTGGTTATGGCAAATCAATGTGTGAAATATCAAAACTTTGCAATTAATTTTAACCAAGATAATGAGTGGAAACTAATCTGACATTTAAGGCCCCTGTGGCCTTGACCTTTGACTTAATACCCAAAAATCAATAGCGGCAATCAACTTGTTACGACCAATCAATATGTGAAATAGGACAACTTTGTCCTGAATACATTTCAAGAAAATCAGCGGAAACCATTTTGACATTTAAGGCCCCTGTGACATTGACCTTCGACATTATGACCCGAAAATCAATAGGTGTCATCTATTATGGCTAATAACTATGTGAAATATGAAAAGTTTTAAAGATAATCAGCGAAAACCATGTGGTCAACCGACGGACAGACCGACAGACAGACCGACATTAGCAAACAATATGCCCCCTCTTCTTTGAAGGGTGGGTATGATGATGTCAAGCATGTAAAATTGTCTGTTATGTAGCTTTGCGTAAAAATACATATTTATCAAAATGCTTATAAATAAATTAATTGAAAGCTACATTTATAATACATGTAAGAGATACAGCTATATTGGGTGTATCTTTTAAAATAACGACTTGTGTAGTATTTGGTTAACATAAGCCCTATTAATTTTTGAGCCATAGTCTAAAATCATGATGTAATGATATCATATAATTATATGTAAAAAGGAATAAATAAATGCATACATAGGTAAATGCTAATAACGTTAGGTACATTCGACACTCGTAAAATTTTTACCCTGTAATGTAAAAAATGAACGTAACTACTAATTTGTTTTCCAGTTGTCTCAGACACTCATCACGTTACAATCACATCTTAATTATGAAATTGAATACTTAAAGTACAGAAGCAGATTATGAAAAATATACTGGAGGCTCGTTTTAAATTACATGAGATAAAATATAGTTATTAAATAAATTGTGATTTCTTTATTCATATAATCTATTTTTCTACATTTACGCTTGTGGTTGTATTAAGCCTATACCATCGGATGGTGTTTTTGTTAGAAAACAATCGTCCAATCCGAAAAAAACATCGCCTGCGAGGCGGCTAGGCGATCCCCGTGATATGACTTCTTAAACTCAATGACCCCAAAAATAATCCTCCGAATGCCATTAGCTTTTAAGTAGTACTTGAAACCCGACGGCGCCTGCCCGATGAGTAACGGACGGACATCGACATATATTTTATTGAAACTTTGAAACATGTGTATACAATCTATTATTTACTTTTATCAGATAAGGTGTTCTTATTTTTTTACATTGTATTCCTTTATATTATGTTTGAAATTATTTAAGGGCACTTAGAGTAAGGCACTGGGCCGCATATTTGATTTAATGTGCCGTTGAAAATAAAAATAAGTTGACTTGACCCTCCATATATCTTTTGAGGCGCAGTTAAGATATCTTTACAAAAAACACGCGCATAATTTTGATATTCGTTAAATTGGAATGCAACATTGTACCAATATTATATTTTACAATGATAATCAATATTTTGTCAATGAGAGCTTATATAGACAGGTTTGTAATGTAAGGCCACCCTGGCCACCATGATTTGTTTGTTTATTTTTGATTGCAGACAAAGCTCATCTTCTAAACTATTCAGTTTTGAACATGATTCCGTGACGGGTGAAGACATTTTTTTAAAAGAAATCATGAGCAGACACGGATGTTAACAATTCATATCAAAACGTATCAGGTACGATATGGTCAAGGAATTTTATCACGTGTTTAAAATTTAAAAATGATATTAAGTGCATTGTGTTTTAATGCATCTATTGAAGCTTACAAACGTCTTTTTGAAAAGCATAATACTTGTTTAAAGTGTCAACAGAAGAACGGTCTCATAAAATTGTTAACCATTTAACTGATTTTTTAAATATAAATTAAGACTTTGATTTGATGCAGACTGATAATATGAAAACTAAATCAATATTATTATTATTTCACACATTGTTTTGATATTTTCACACTATATCCAGTTATTTTTTATCATTTGAATATTATCATTCTTCAAGTTTTCCTGCTCATTAGGTGCAAATACTCAACATGATGGTAATGACAACGAATATGGAAAGATCGGATTGAATGTGAAAGACGCAGAAAACATAGTCAATTGAAGCAGTAAATGTATTGAAGGTGAGGCAAAAATAATGGCCAATTAAGCAGTTACTTATAAAAAATAACAAAAGTCATGAGCTTTCATATTTTTCATTTCCTTGATTGTTTGATTACTCATGTGTACCAATAGCAGGTTTTTGTATTAAAGTGCCATATTTGTGTCAGGTTCAAATACAGAACAAAACACTTAAATTTCAGATATTTATAGAAGAAAACAATGACATTCCAGTAACATATGAGAAACTATGGAGGGCGATCGTTGCCAAAATTCCAGACATGTAATGTGTTCCTTTTGAAAACTACTTTTGAAAATGCGAACGGGTATGTCTAGCATTTTTTATTATATTCGTGCAAAGCAAATGATATGCCTCTTAATCCCGTCTTTAAATTGAAGGCACCCGCTTTAAAATAACAAGTTTACATGTAAATCTTAACAACTGACCTAACATGGAGAACAACAACAAATTTACAAGTTCGTATCTTCCACATCAGCATTTTTGCACACTTGTAGATATCTATATGTACCTGAAAAATACAAGTGAAATGTAAAACTCGAATACAGAAAATAGAATTTAATAAAACGTGTTTCCAGTCGTAGAACTACAACAGTACGTTTACACAGTAACATGTTTAAAATGACAAAAGTAGATTCACAAAGTTAAACGATTTTAACTCATGCATGACGCTCCGCCCCTCTCTGAGTATTTACGATCTTCTATTACGGAAATGTACGAACAGGTATAATACCGTCGCCTCTCTCCTATTTCTCAATAAAGTGAATGAAATAGATAAATACAGAATCCCTAAAGAAAGCCCAACACGGCAAAATTGAAAACACGGCGTCCATTCTAACTTTTTTTATTTCTATAAAAAGTCAAAACATTTTGGTATCAGATGAAAGATTACTCCATAAGCTTTCTATGAGTGCCTCAGAAATAAAAATGAATTATATAGATGTATTGAAATTTTTGTTTCAAAATTTATCATTTTTCCTCTGAAAATGACACTTTCGAATTGGTTAGAAAAACACGGCGTTCCCTCCAAACTTTTTTTTTTATCTCGTAATCAATTTTGATAATTTTGGATTGAAATAAAAGTGTGCTTCATACGACTTATGATATATAATTATATAATGCCTAAAAATAAAAATGAATTAAATCAAAATGAATTAACTTTTCGTTTTAAAGTTTATCATGTTACTTTCTGTAAAATAGAGAAAATAAGAATGCCTAAAGAACGCTCAAAACGACAAAATTGAGAATGTTGCAGTTGAGCCTGTTCATGGACGGTAATGGAAAGTGAAAGTTACTGTCCACGCCCCCTAGCACCGGCTTAAGCAAAGTTCAACATTTAACATGAACTGATACAATTTTGAATTTTGAAACATCCGCAGAAGTGTTAATATGGCGATTATCATGGAACCTTCAATGTGACACGTAAGTGCCATTCCATGACAAACGACACATGGTCCCCAAGAAAAAAAAACAAAACACACACTCTGAAATTCAGTAAGAGAAACATGTCGCCCCCTACTAACTTTTTATTTTATTTCTTGGTCAATTTTGATAATTTTAGACTCAAGTAAAAAAAATCTTCATGAACTTTCTAGTGATGCCTAAAAATGAAATTTAATTACGTAGACGTATTAAAAATTTTGTTTCAAACTTATCGTTGTTTATTTTTTCTCTCTTAAAATAGAGAAAAACAGAATCCCTCAAGAAAGTTTAACACAACAAAATTGAAAATGTTGCAGGCTCGGTTTGACTAGCACCGGCTCATGCAGAATTCAACATTTAACCACACTCATATATTCGGCAAGAAAATCAAGTCGCTTCCTTAAGATACTTTATTCAAAAAAGAAAATGAGAGATAATGAACAAGTGCAACATCCCTAACGCCCCCTAGCCCCGGGCTTGAGCGTACTCAATTTTCAACCCCCTTTTAATAGCGCTGGCATTCCCAAAAAATCCCGAAGGACCAGAAAAAAAAATAAAAAACCAAATGAAAAGGAAACGGGCGGCAACTTTTTACAGGGGTGGGCCACAAAAGGCACTTGACACCGCTTTATGAAGAAAAAAAATCTTGGGAAAAAAAAGTTGATCCCCCGAAGCCAAAAAATTTAAAACCAAAACCCAAAAATTTCATTAAAAATTTTCAGACCCGGTTTTATTGATCTGTAAAAATGAGGGATAATGAACCCAAACCCGCCAAAAAAAATTTTATTCAAAACTGAAAAAAACCAAAATTTAAAAAAAATTGTACATTTTGTTTCTAAAGGATAAGTATTTTTTTGATTTCGAAAAGGGAAAACTCATTGGGCCCCCTTTAAAATTTTCCCATTTTTGGGAAAATACTTGCATAGTTTTTGTTGAAAATGAAATTTGTGCCAATATAATTTTTCAATGATACCAATAAAAATATTGGATGGTTTTTAGATTATCAATAAAATTACTCCCTTGAAGTTGGGTCATTGTTTCCCCTAAAAATTTCCTAATCGCCGATGTTTCTCAGGAAAATACAATTTAAAAATAAGTTCATGCCTAAGTTTTCTTCATCATAAATTGGTAAAATCAGCAATTTTCAGTGATGTTGCTATTGACAAAAACTTTTTGTAACAAAAGTAACAAATATACATGTATGTTATGAAAAATGCCGTATGTTGTCCCTTAGTTTTATTTAGAAATACAGGAGAGGCGCCGTTTTTATACCTGTCCGCAATAGAAGTTTGTAAATACTCAGAGAGGGGCGGGGCGTTAATGCTTGACTTAAAATCGTTTAACTTTGTGAATCTACTTTTGTCATTTTAAACATGTTACTGTGTTAACGTACTGTTGTAGCTCTAACAACTGGTAACACGTTTTCTTAAATTCTATTTTTCTGGGTAATTAAGATTTACATTTCATTTGAATATTTTCAGATCTATAAGTGTGAAAACATGCATTATGTATTGCATGCAATGGAAGATACGAACTTGTGAATTTGTTGTCGTTTTTAGATGTTAGGTCAGTTGTTACGATCTATATGTAAACTTGTTATATAAAGGCGAAAACATTCGATTAAAAAATGATTTAAGAGACATATTATGTGCTATGCACGGGTACAATAAAAAATGGTAGGCATACAAGTTCGCATTTTCAAAAGTCATTTTAAAAAGGAACACTTAACATGTCTGGAATTTTGGCAACGAACGCCCTCCATAAGAAACTAGCAGATAATCGAAAAGACTTAAACCAGTACAGTCAGCTTCATTCCATGGAAAAAAGAAAAAAAGATGATAAATTTAAAACCCCCAAAAAAAAATGTTTTCTAGTGGCCCAAAGGGCGAACAAAATTAAAATGTTCGAAAAATTTATATCAATATTTAAAAATCTTTAAAGGGAAAAAGGGGAAGGGCTACTGTATATTATTTTAATTGTGTACATGAGGTGGAATTATTACACACAGACTAAAGAAGTATATACTACTGGTTAGCAATAATTAAATTTCTTGTTGAAAAATACATGTATACACACATACAGATATTTAATACTGTTTAATTAAAGTCTTATACATATTTCCGTATTCTAAGTTGTATATATGCAATTTAATTTACCGTTAATGAAAGTTACTTTCATTAATATGTTATTTTGTGTTTTGAGTTGCACGAGCATTTACATATTTATTTATTAGAATCATCTTATATTGTTAAACTATATTCTAGTGTGTAATTTTGTAAGTAATGCTGTATGAATAGACTCGTTAATCTATACTCTGATAATTTACACACATTCATCTTTGCGAATATGTACATTTATATCAAAGAAACTTTATAAATGTTGAAATGTTCTGGTCAACTTTATAGAACATTTGCGGTATTTAGATATAACACGACGAGTCTGAATATATCAAAAACTTTTACAAACATGTTTACAATATAAATAGTTTCAAGATGACAAATTTAACAAAAACATATGTTCCCCATTGTTTGAGCAAATTTATAAATCATCGATAGCATATGTGGTTCTCTAGTGCATGTATTTCATTTTCTGAAACCGTAACAAAATAATGTAAATATGTCATTTAGTTTATGGGACCATCAATACTGAAGATAAGATCTAGTTAAGGACTTAAATATAAAAGAATTATGGATAATATAGACAGTTTGTACTTCAAGGATTTTGAAGTATGTGCAACTAAAATAAACAGTTTGACCAAAACGCAAAAAAACTCTCATAATTGTTTTTTGACAAAACTTGCTAGAACGAACAGAAATAACTTCTTTATCAGATATGAAGATTATCAAACAGGTAGACAAATCTTTAACGTACTTTTTATGATTTAACAATTTGTAGTCGTTTGTGTGTGAATAAAAAACTATTGGCGGTATTTTTGTATGTCACTTTTGTAGAAATTTTTTTAAGGGGGTTTCTTTCCTCAACTATAAATTAACAAGATACGTAGACACACGTTTTCGAAAATATTTGTCTCCTGTTTAAAAAATTGTCAATAACCTTCTCTCAGTTTGTATAAAAATTAAACATATCATTTCTCATTTAAATGCTGATGATTTACTATGGTGTGTGCTTCTATAATTATGTTTATTTCGTTTAACTGAATCAAAACTCATGTTAATTTCGTTTTACTGAGACATTTTGTTTGTCCCATGCATCACTTCAGATAAAGGGATAGGTAAAAGTCGCCGACTTAAAATCACTTACTAATCACTACTTGTGTCCGAAGTCCGCTACGGACTTTGAATTCGTTTATGTTAGAAGGTTTTCGAGCTACCTTACAGAAGACCGGTGGTTGTATTAAGATGAAAGTTTGTTCCTTGAATAAAGGTAAAGCTTGTACGTCGTCCTATGGCTTCAATGTGTCAAGTTGACTTACAAATTGACAAAGTTACAATAAATAATCATACAAGAAGTCTTTGAAACCATAAACAATGTATTTTCGCTATGACTACAGTATTAACTACATTGATAGATACCTTTCATCACGTCTTAGTACATCTCAGGAAATTCATTTTGACCTCCACGTGATTTTCCTTCTTCTTCTTAAAATTTATGAACAGTGTAGTCCAACGATATTGCCTGCTGACTAATGCGTGGAGAAGAATTATTTTCATTTAAATCTAAACTCTGTTATCGCTTAAATAAATGGTGAAACAATCATTCGTAAAAAAAATGAATGCTTTTGCATGGATCAATTATATATAAAAAGAACCTATCAAATGGAAAAAGAATGAAATGAAAATAAACTGTTATAATTACTAATACGTATGACTTGTAAATCTTTGATTGCGTTCTATTTATCTGTTAACCTGTTGTTTTTATTCTCCTTAAGGAAAGCTATTTAGTTTTGAAAACGATATTTATTTAAAAGAAAATGGTTTAAAAGCTTAATAAATCATATAATAAACATGTACGGTTATGATAGCCAGTGTACGGCAAGTGAATCAAACAATTTATCCTTTTATAATGTACATCTGCAAACAACACAGTTATGCAGAGAGGAGAGGATAATTATAGTATATTGTTGATTGGTACAAACAAGAAACAACATCAACAACATCACGAGTTTACCTGTAAAGCTGCATGCCTCTAGAATAATCCGACTTAATTACGGAAATCATTAAAACATTTATTAATAATTAAGATTTTAAGAAAATTAAAACAAAATCTCTAGATTTATGACTAATTTTGGTAGTATTTATTACCATATTTCTGGTTCAATATTAAGGCAATGTTAATAACGATTACGAAATGTTGCGGCTGAGTCTACATTTGAACATTATACAAGGCTGGCAATTAAAGGGAGAACAAGATGCTAATGTGATAACTTTACTAAGCACTAGGATTGAAAGAGTTATATCCCTTTTACGTTTATGGACGTATTACTAAGTAATATAGATTGAATAAGAAACATTGCTTTTGATTCTATACTAGATAAACTTTAAACTGAATGCACATGATATTATATCGTATGCCAACATGTATAAGTAGTTAGCAACAATAATGTATGACAATCTAATATATGCACTAGTTTACACAATGCGTAATCAAAAATGAATAATATAACAGGAAAAACCCGTCCAAAACGACAATATAAAAATAAACAACAAATCAATGGATGTGTGGTTAGTACACTAGAGCCTTAAAATCCGATTTTTTAAATTCACAAAAATTCGGCAATTTTACTAAATATTTAATATGCAATACCAATGATGGATTTGATAACAATTAACATTATAAATCATATAAGGGTATTTGTATTACCGTAGTAACATTTTAATATCTGGAACCACTGTGACAATTTGTACTGAACTGAAACTGTTCACTTAAATCTAAGGCTTAAACTACAATCCCATCAACATAAGAATAAGATTTTAACAGCAACATGACAACGATTAATGGGACAATAAAATTATTTTATTTACTGAACATTTATCTTTTATGATACTTAATCTAACAAGCACATATTTTTATAGTTTATATTTAATTCTTAAGGTTTGGCACTTCTTGGCACCTTTTTTAGTATTTTTGGAAGTTAGATACTTATCGTTTTTATCTGTATAATAATGACAGATAAATATCCAGTAAGTATGATAAATGTATGTTATTTATCGTGTTATCACAACAATTAATTAGTTAGTCAGATATTTTTATGGTTCACTGTTGACAGAAATATGCCACAATATAAAAATATATAATTTTGTTAGCCATAACATCAATTTGTATATTTTGTATAAACAATGCGGTGAAATTTAATCTTTGCACTCGAGAATGACATTTTCTAGGTCATTTATTCTTTACAACACATGAGAGCATAGTGATTTATAATACAAATATTATCAAGGACGTTTTTATGCCGTGTTTGCAAATTTGTTTCGATCACGGAAGTAAAATTGTAATCTTTTAAATGAATGCAAAATACATCCGAAAATAACATAGATAAATACACAGTCATTCTTTTCATGGGAGCTTATATCAAGGAAGTTTTATAAAACAACCTAATCAAGTTTAAAAATTTCAAAAATGTGCGTGATTTTAAGATTTAATTTGATTTTGGTTTTGCTTGCAGGTAAGAAACCACATTTTTTAAGATAATATACAATTTATTTATATATACAAGGAATGCTTAATAAGTCCTGTATTATATTTCTTATTACATGTTTGTTAAACGAGCAAAGAAGCAGGGTAATACAAAAAGGCAGAGTTAACAATGTAGTGTCATTTTTTTCCGTTTTAAGTACTTGTAAACAATTTTAACAATACGATTATTATTGTACTTTGAAAGAAAGGAATTAAATTAAGTTGTATTGTCAAAAAATCGAAATGTGGTTCTTGATTAACTATATTATATTAAGTAAGACACATTCAAAAAGCCAACTAGGATGATGATTTTTCGGTATGACTCGGTTAAATTTCCTATATACCTTTGATATAGTTACCCAAATGTAGTGTCATGTGTTTACTTACTGCTTTATGTAAATAACCAATATCAATTTATTAAGGTCAAAATGCATATGAATAAGGCTCTTAGAAAACAACTTAAAGCAGCATGCCTCCAGATGAGCGAAAATATTTCAATAACTTAAACTTGTGAAAAATTTAATGCAAAGTAGAAATATAAAATATTCATGTAATTATTTACATGTTATGAGCGATTAATTGTGAAAGTTCATTTTATGAAACTAGATTTTTATCACGTTACTTACGCAGTTAGGGCATTTTTTGCATATGTTGACCTCTTTTTTGTCATAAGCATGGATTGTGAGTGCCATGAATGATGTGTAAAATTATTCCTTTTGGTTACTTTACAATAGTATACATTTGATTTCATTTTCAAAATTTTCATGAAAATCAGCATTAATCTGAAGGCGCGCTGCTTTAATACAACAATACAAATAGTTTCGAGTCAGAAAGAGTTCGTGCATTTGTACAATTGACATTGCTTTGAAGAATATGTTAATCTAAAACCTAAGAAATTATAAAGTACAGAATATGTTTGAACCATTTGCCTTATCTGTCAAACATGCAAAACAATGATGACCATCGTCATGTAAATAGTAATTGTATATTGTGCTTGTTATTACTGTGAAGTGATTAACGTCTTGTTCAATTTAATAACTTTCTTGAATTAGTCTATATCTAACACTATTTGCTTGTGTGATTTTTTTAATAAAAAAGTTTTTTTTTCACTTTCGGTCATATGTTGATGACCTTTATCAATTAACAGTACATATTAATTGTACTTACTGCAATACAAATTTGAGCTGCATTCGTTGATTGACATTCATTAAACTTTATTTCTAATTTGTGCATAATTCTGCTTCTTAAAATTGAATGAATATAATATATAGTATATTTTCCTTCCGTAACAATATGTCAATAAGTAAGCGTTCGGTATCTAAAATTATAGCCCCTTGTAGAATAATTAACATTGTATAAGATTTGCGAATGCTTATTTTTAACTGAGAACCATAATTAAAACGTCATTTTAAATGAAAAGAAAGCAATACTATTTATAAAATCAATTAAAAGTAAGGGAGGCAAGTGTAGTACGATATTTATCAAGTTTAAAAGGATTTTGTGCACACAAATTAAGCTGCCTTACATGAATCTGTTTTTCATTTCGTCTTTATTTTACAAAGACTTGTGTGATAATTAGTTCATTAAAATAGCAATACATTATAAAAAAGTACACTGTTTTGATTAATATTTTTATTGAGCTACAAATGACAACACTTTTTTTAACCCAGTTAATCACAATTGGCAAATAATTAATATCTTTTACAGGACTGGCATATCTATAAATAATATATTGAGCAAGTGTCATTATTATTAATTCTTTTTTTTTTATTTTAGATTCTTATATGACTACACTTAACTTGTCTCCAACACATGTGTATGTTGTTGAGAACTCGAGTGAAACGTTAACATGTTCTAAAGAAAATGGAAACTTAGTAGAAACACGTTGGGCCAACTCGAAATTTGAAAATCAGCTAGCTAACTTGTATATATCTCCTAACGATGGATCATGTGTATCGTCAAACTTTCTTTTACAAAACCGTTTGTTTACTGGAGTATGTGGCGACGGTGTATATTCAGTAAAATTAAATAGGATTGACCGCACACAACATGGTGCTGAATGGCAGTGCACTGAATATTTAACAACAAGTAATAAAGTTGTCATAAATGTATCAGGTATGGAATTGTTACTGTATATTTTGGCCAAAAACTAACTTTTTGAATAGCTTCTTTTCTCTTTCATAGGAATGTCTGTGATACATAGCAAATACAATGAATATTCCCAGTTATTTTTTGGATTTTTTTCTAAATACAGTATTATCATTAGTTTGGTATTGTAAATACCTTATACTAACTATAACGCAAATTCACATATTTCACAAGATGCAATTCCTAAACATATTGATATCTCAAGGAAAAATAAATGAATATTGCATATTTCGTATTGTCGGCACAATGTTTTAATTTTTTGAATCTTTAATATAACTGTCAATTAAGTAAGCCAAAGTACTTACAGAACTGCATTAGTATAATTGCAAATGAAATACTAAAGTTGCACTTTAAAGTTAAAATTGTGAATCACTGCGGTTGCGACATGATACATAGCACGCTTTATAATTGAGAGCTTGTAGTTTTGATACACAACTTTGAAATGTACTATAGTATGTTACGAACATACATAAAAGTCGGTGATACACGAACAAAGTATACTGGACTTATGCCCATTTTAAAAATCCCCAGAAAACGTCTGAGTACTTGAATACGGAAATCAGTACTCGTTTCTAGCTCTGCTGTTGTTTCTTTAAAAGTTATAATTATAAAATAATAATAAAGATAAAAATTATAAAAGTTATCTTGTTGTTACAGTCCCTGCTTCAGGCGTAACCTTGAGTCAACCAAGTGGAGAATATATGAAAGAAAATCAGACAATAAAAATAAAATGCAACACTTCCGCATGCCGACCAGATCCAAGAGTACAATGGTATCTTCGAAAAAGTACTGGTGAAGTTGTGAAAAACTTAACACAATTTTCCACTGGCATATACGATAGAAGAGAATATGGTCTCGTGACTGTTGAAAGTATACTTAACTTTACGCCAAATAGAACAGTAAATTATATGAGTTTGTTCTGTGAAGTATGGACAAGGTCAAAGGATAAAGCTGATATAGTAAGCAGGGAAGTTATCATTACTGTTGCATACTGTTAACGTACTGTCAATGATTAACACATATATTTTTCTTTCAATTAAGTTTGACACGAAGCTAAAATACTAAGCACCATTCATGATGAGAATCATCCGATTGTTGTCTATACTTATTGACAAATGTAAATACGGACCGTTTGGTCTAAATGTGTTTGCGAAACATTGATTGTTTAAAAGATGATGGCATACCCATTCATATTGCGCTGAAAGTCTTTAACATGTTCGAACAACTGTGCATGTATAATCGTTTGTTGGCTTGCTATCCGTTCGAAATGAGCATGCTAAGGAATGATAACTTGAAAGAAAGACAAACAGAAATTAAATGAGGGTGATGCCCTTTTTTACATCAGATTCTGCATAATCAGCTGTTTTACTTGGCGCCCTGACAAAAGCTCATCAAAAAATGACAACAACAAATATGCATCAACGTATATGTATCAGTTAACGCAAGTTTTTCTCTCCGTTTATGTATTCCTGCGTGCACAGTTTTATATAATGATTTAGTTGTTAAATAACATCATCTTAGGATGTAATTATATATAATTTTATTTGTGATTGAAATATATTAGTAGGCCATTCATTCTAAATACTTTTCAAAGAATAACAGTTTACGATAAGAAGTGACGCATGCACATGCACATGTATTCTCATTCTATAAAACAATCATTATTTACAATTGCGCCAGAATTATTTAACATGTAAGTGTGATTTATTTGTCAACGACACAGACACATATCTACTAGTATCACATGTTTACATATTAAAAAATACTAAGTTGGGTAAGATTTTTTTTTGCAAAATATATTTTTTGTTATAAAATCAATCAAAATATTTCATTATTTTTAAGTACTTTAATACAAAAATATAAGAGTAAATTGGGTCCCTGATAAATTTATTAATTATTTAGGTAATAAATTCACCAATCCAAAACCGATACATACATAACACTGTCAATTTGAGAAGATGGCTATATGAACGTTTGGGTTTAATGCTGATAGGTTTCTATTTAGATAAGAAAGGGTCATAACTCACACACATACATGAATTAACTTATTTCGTCAACAATTCTCGTCAGGATCTATTTAAATCTAACATATTAGATGTAAACGTCATTTTACAGATTAACTAGTCTTATCATTCAAATGCACAACACATTTTCATAACTACGTTCACGCTTAATTTCAGTTCTTTGTTATCGTCCATTTGTAAAATATAGCTGCAGATGGACATTTTTATCTCTCTCGAAAAATGCTACTTTAAATAACCAAAGTAAACATATCATCTCCCCATTTGCAGAGTTTGTTTGTAATTGGTGAACCGATTTTCGTATAAATATATACATTAATGCCAAGTTTCCATGGAAATGTGGGAAAACAGACACACATTGTCATTTAAATATATTCCAATGGCTTCGGCAATGTATAAAAAATAATAAACACCAAATTCTTAGTCTATTCTTAGTCTGAAATTAACCAATTCATATGGGAATTTGTCGCTTATCAATATCCATTTTGAAAAAAGAATGTTGCATCCAAACTCATATCTTGAAATGTGTATGTTACACAAATAAACTCGAAAGTATTTATTGACGAAAAAATCACTTCAAATACCATCGAAGTATACTATCTATGTGCATATATTATCTATGCAAATCCTATTATAAACAATTTAATATAGAAACATGTTTCCTTTCCAGAATTTGCATTAATTTGAATAGAAATTTGTACAGCACATAATTTATTGAGAGATATATCAAAGGGCTTGTCTGTCTACATAATTGAAACATGCCTTTGATGTATGTGTCGATAAATCTGTAAGCTTTATAATGCCATCACAACTTTCACACGCAAATTTGAGATTTCGACACGTGTTTTGACTTAATTACCGAGTAAAGCGTAAGAATTTTTTTGGTTTCAGCATATTTAAGAATCAACTTTTTGACACAGTCATATTGATATGATATATTACAGATTTACATATGAAACATATTTGAAATAATAATAACTTTAAGAGTCAAATATTAGAAACATATAAAATAGAAAATGTATTAAATTGAATGAAACTGTGTTTCATATACAAATACATGCCAGTTGTGTCAATTAATATTAATTTAATATAATTTTTTGTTTTAGATCCCCCAGATAATTCACCATTAATACAAGGAATGGACACTAACGAAGTCTTACAGGTCATTGAGTCTGATACAGGCACATTTGTTTGTTCCACTGACGGAGGAAACCCTCTTGCATCTTTGGACTGGAACTGTTTTGGCAGTAAAGACATAACATCGAAAACTCAAGGGGAAAGAGTATTTAGTACTGTAAAATGGACGGCACTGAGCAAATTTAGCACATGCTCCTGTTCGTCTCATCACATATTAAGTAATTGGAAAAGCACAACGAACGTAACAGTTAATGTACTGTGTATGTTTTATTTTTGATTTCCATTGATTCTGTCATATAAGTTTGCATATAAGGCATTGTGGATTGTGTATTTGTACACAATGGTTAATGTTTAATTACTCTTTTAGAATGTCAATGTATAAATGTAATGATTAACATTGTTGTCTGTTGTTTTAATTTAGTAATAGTGTTTACTTCGCAAATAGCTTTTGAAAGTAAAAAAGTGAATTAACAAATTGTATGTATTTTTTCTTGTTTAAGATATCAATATTTACCATTTAAGATCCACCAACCAAACCACATTTCAAAATTGGACAATCAGGTGTTTTTGGCGATGTCCATGTTATAGAAAATAACACATTACGAATTGTCTGCAATAGTGAAAGTAATCCTTTATCAAACTACACATGGACAGGTCCAGGTTTTTCTGGCAAAGGTGACACGTTAGAAATAACAAACGTTAACATAAGCAATCAGGGGCATTTTAAATGCATGGCGTCAAACAGGATGACAAGAACGAATGGATCTTATGAAGACGGGAGTAAATCATCATCTTTCAATTTAACAATATTGTGTAAGTACATATCGTTGCAATGATACAATGAATTATATGAAAGCAGATTGTGTTGATCAAAGACAGTTGTGAAAGTTTTAAATTTGAATGTATATCTAAAAAAGAAGGAAAACGATCTTTATTAAAAACACATATCAAGCATAGCGTTATTTGCTACCAATATATGAAAACGCTTCTGATATTTACAGATCCTCCAAGCAATCCAAAATTCAAATTTGAAAACTCCAGCGGGCAGCTCATTCAATCAAATATATTTTACGTAGTGAGAGACGATACGTTTTCTATTTACTGCGATGTAAAAGGTAATCCTGTACCTGACATTAAATGGGATGATAACAAAAGCAATCCGACTTTGAAAATATCTAACATCAATTTGGACATAAATAGTACATGCAGAGCAAAAAATTTGATGAAAGAAACTGCGAGTCAAAAAGAAATAAGTTCAACATCGGAAGCATCGTTTTCAATCGTCGTATTTTGTAAGTTAATATTTTTCATATCTTTGAGAAAGTAAACACATATATAAGAAATAATAAATAATATTTGGAGAAAATTTTATTAATTGTTGGAGAAAATTATATTAATTGTGTTTTGCCCATTAAAACATTCAGGATTCTGAGAAATGAATTGGTTATCGTTCATATTGTTTGTCATATGACTAACTATATCTGACATTCTACTTTATAATTATTACATTGGAAAAAGAATTAGCGATAAAACTTGATATACGTAACAAGTTCATTCAAAGCATATAATGTCACTTAAACATTTATCGCAATACCCTAATTTTATAATGTTTATTCAAGATCCTCCAGGGATTCCTACAATACACGTTTCAAATTATAATGGCTACAGCGTTCAAGTTCAAAATGGAAACGTCAGTATTATTGAATCAGAAACAATCAATGCGACATGTTTTTCACCAAGTAAACCAATGCCGGCATACAAATGGACAAAGGAGCAGTCATTTAAAACACTTTCGACAAACGTGTTGAAGTTTGTGAACGTCAGTCGTTACGAAAGTGGGGCATATTTGTGCAACGCTGAAAATACTATGAATAGATCAATAGGAAAAACTGTAGTAGGAAAAAATAACTCTCAACTAATTTTGAACATATTATGTAAGTATGAAATTATATACTTTATTTATCAAAGTCTGGAACAAGAGTCTTTCAAGGGATTTCACTTCAAAGGTTTTCTAATTTCAAAAATAAGTATAGGGTCTTACCTGCGATTTATTATGTTTATATTTTTATTTGGTATTTACAATATTCGTTTTCCATATAATGTCGTTTTTGCTGAATTCCTTATCTTTAACTTGTAGAGAAAAGTTATTTAATCATCTTATTTCATTGCAAATAACATGTTTCTTAACTCTCCTTTAAATTACTAGCTAACCTATTTTTATTTGTATTTTTCCCCCAAGGACACATTTTCAGTATTTTTGCCCATTGTCTTACAATATATACTTATTATATTTGAAACGCTGGTCATATCACAAAATGTTGTATAACAATTCAATGGGTATTTATTATAACACTATTTGAGTTAGATATTGAAATGATGCACACCTCTGATATTCTTGAACACACTTCAGTCCAGTTCACTCAAAACACTTCAATGCTTTTCCAGACGTTTAAAAATATCGACTTCTGATATCATTGATAAGCCTAGCTATGTATATATAGAACATGTTGTCCTTAAACATCCATCGTTAATAGTGTATTTATCCAATATATAATAGCACGATTAATATTATAATTGTTGTGTTACAGCATATGCATTTGTATTTAGAAATGTTCTAATTTCTTTATACAAATGTTTTGTTTGTTTAAAAAATATAATTTGTAATTTATAGATCCAGCTATAGTGAATGATATATATGATATTAGTATTGTTGAGGGATCACAATTGGAAATAGTATGCCCTGTAGTACATGGAAATCCTTTAACCTCAATAGTAACATGGTACAGACAAAGTGTCGAAAAACGATGGAATAACACACTATTGTTTATCAAGAATGTTTCAAGAGCAGACGATGCAAACTATATCTGTAGTGTAATAACAGACATGTTTCCTACGATCGGTACTTCTTCAAGAATTGAAAAAAGAAAAACTCGATATATTTTAAAAAGGGGAAATACACTCGTTCCCCTTTTTAAGGCACTATTTTTACATTATTTTCAGCTAAAGTAATGGTATTGTTTTGTGAAAAGTAAAAGACAAACAGCTAAAGTAAACATCCAAATTTTATTTTTTGTTTCTTTTGCAAATGTTTTCGGGGGAACCGTTCCCCCGAAGAACAAAAGCCATGTACAGAATACAACATGATTCGATAAATAAAAAGCAATTGTTCAGTAATAAGAGATACATTATGCTTACGGGGGAACCATTCCCTCATCAAAATAAAAAGCAAATTTCAAAACTTATCTTTAACACATACTCTAAAGTGGAACCATTCCCCCATCAAAAAATTAAAGTTCAAAACTTATTAAACTTCAAAACACATTTTCTAAAGTGGAACCGTTCCCCCTTAACAAAACAGAAATAACAATTTGATAGAATAAAATGCAATAATTTAGAAATTTAGACCAAGGTTACCCGTAAGAGGGAACCGTTCCCTCATCAAAATAAAAAATAAATTTCAAAACTTATCTCTTACCCATTTCCTAAAGTGGAACCGTTCCCCCTTAACAAAACAGGCTCAAAAATTTGATAGAATAAAATGCAATAATTTAGCATTTTAGAGCCATGTTACCGGTAGGAGGGAACCGTTCCCTCATCGAAATAGAAAATAAATTTTAAATCTTATTTATAACACATTTTCTAGAGTGGAACCGTTCCCCCTTAACAAAACAGAAATAACAATTGGATATAATAAAATGCAATAAGTTAGAAATTCAGAGCCATGTTACAATGAAGAGGGAACCGTTCCCTCATCGAAATAAAAATATTTTTTTAAAAACTTAAGTATGACACATTTTCTAAAGTGGAACCGTTCCCCCTTAACAAAACAGAAATAACAATTTGATAGAATAAAATGCAATAATTTAGAAATTTGGAACAAGGTTACCCGTACGAGGGAACCGTTCCCTCATCAAAATAAAAAATAAATTTCAAAACTTATCACTTACCAATTTTCTAAAGTGGAACCGTTCCCCCTTAACAAAATAGATATAACAATTTGATAGAATAAAATGCAATAATTTAGAAATTCAGAGCCATGTTACCAGTAAGAAGGAACCGTTCCCTCATCGAAATAATATTTTTTTTTTAAAACTTTAGTATGACACCTTTTCTAAAGTGGAACTGTTCCCCCTTAACAAAACAGAAATAACAATTTGATAGAATAAAATGCAATAATTTAGAAATTTTGAGCAAGATTACCCGTAAGAGGGAACCGTTCCCTCATCAAAATAAAAAATAAATATCAAAACTTATCTCTTACCCATTTTCTAAAGTGGAACCATTTCCCCTTAACAAAACAGAAATAACAATTTGATAGAATGAAATACAATAATTAAGAAATTTAGAGCAAGTTTACCCGTAAGAGGGAACCGTTCCCTCATCGATATAAAAAACAAATTTCAAAACTTATCACTTACCAATTTTCTAAACTGGAACCGTTCCCCCTTAACAAAACAGATTTAAAAATTTGATAGAATAAAATGCAATAATTTAGAATTTTAGAGCCAGGTTACCAGTAAGAGGGAACCATTCCCTAATGAAAATAAAAATAAATTTCAAAACTTATCTATGACACATTTTCTAAAGTGGATCCGTTCCCCCTTAACAAAACAGATATAACAATTTGATAGAATAAAATGCGATAATTTAGAAATTTTTGAATCAAAGTTAAAGATTGGCGGACGGCAATGGAAAAAGCTGCCATTGACTGTAACAATACCTCTATTTTTTTCTTTGAAAAAAAAATGACAAGCTAAAAATGGTGAAAATACACTAATTTGAACATATAAGTTCAAGACCATTATGAGGCAAATTTAGTTTCAATTGCTAAATTTTGAGCCACAAATAAAATCACTAAAATAAGAAACATATTGACTGATCTATCATATGAAAAACAAATTTGATTAAATGTCCTTGGAACTAAATTTCACTGCAATGAGATACATCTGTCTATTAAGTTTCACTTCAATAGCTCAATAGGTAGACTGTGAGGCAGACAGACTGACATCTGATTCTAGTATATCCCACTTATCATCATAGTTGTGTAGGGTTTATAAAAATAATCTAGAAACAAGCCGCTTCCATATGACTTTATAGCACAAATTTTGTTTGTTCATTCAACAGTAATTTTTTTGCTCGTACTGGTTTGAAGCCTGTGTGTATAACAATCACTCTCAACATCTCTCTTCACAGCCATACAGGTATTGGTTTAAACAATTTTTAGCTACCAAATCGAAGTTACAACAGAATATGCCCATGTAAAATCCAATTATTTTTCTGCCATTTTTGAGTCTTTTTCAACAACAGTATCTGAAAATAAATAAGGATTCATTTAACTTTTTTTCATTTCATTATTTGCTTGCATCTATCATTTCACAAAATAATCTTTTCAAATTCTGGGACTTTGTAAGATACAAGTGAATGACTTAAAAAACCCAGATAAATACATGTATATAAGGCCAAAAAAACAAAAACAACTTGTTTCTGGTCACAGTCCCCTATTATGAACAGGGTCAGTAGGTAGGGATTTTTTTGGGGGGTTGACTGTTAAACCGATGACATATATGCAAAGTGCTGCATTAAATATAAATGGATCCCATGTCATTCTGACATATTGGTCCGGGGTAAAATATACAGTCGGTCGGCAGACAAAAAACAAGATTTTTTTTTGGGGCCTAAGCAAAATACTGACAAAATGTTTTAAATTAGGATCATAAAATTTTGTTGCATGTTAAGAATAATTCTTATGTTACTTTTATTTTTTGTGTGAGAGGTTCAAAACAGGAATCCTTTACAGAATTCTGTAAGATGTACTAAGTTCAGGCTCACCAACTTTATATAATTATATATTGAGTGCATTGGATTTTGCTGTGATGTAGGGAAAATTCATGACAAAAAAAGAAGTATCTTTAAAAAAGATACTTGGACAAGAATAAACTTGTTTATTACTTGTCTTTTTAAAAACCACTTGCCCCTTACCACTGTGTGTTCGAATCCCAACAGGGACTTTGGATTATTTGGTGTGAG